TCACACTAACTATGAAACATTTTGCAGTCCTCTTGTTTGGACCATATCTAATATAGTTCGACAAAAGCCAAATGCTATTGTTTCTAGATTACCTCAATGTATCCTACTCCCTGTTTTTCAAAATTCTCAACAGCAAAATGAGTGGGGACTGTTTTTGGGTTTTCTCCAGAAGTATAAAAAAATAAAGTTCTGTACATGTTACCTGATATTCATTTTGTTTATGCTTAGACGTATACTAAGGCCCTTCCAAATAGCCTAAGTTGACATTTCCAGTGCTTGCTGCTAATTTGAATTGAACTGCCTTAAAGAAATTTTTGTTGCTCACCTGACCACCGTGACATGCACTGAAAGAAACATGTGAATGTTGGAAATTTTTATAAATTTCATTATTTGGCAAGGAAAATTGGTTATTGACACTGTATGTAGCTAGCTTCTTGGATTATGTAATTTTACAAGGAATTGCAACTTAAATAGCATTTTTTAAAGCCTAAAATTAAAGATGGTTTTGCCAAATTTGTCTCAAATAAATGGTTTGGTGCTATTATTTTTAGCAAGGTCTTATTTGGTGTCATAACTTATTTCCATTGCTTAATTTTCTCAGAAATGCATCTGTTCTCATTGTTGATTGAGATGTTTAATTATCCATGTGGGATTTGACGACTAACAAAAAAAATGTTGTATTTGATGTTGTTGGGAGTTAGAGCCAGATTTCAGATATAATTTTTATGTTTTTTTGTATTTGATGCTATAGTAGTTAAATTTTTATTTTTGTATTTGATTGAGATGCTTAATTATCCATGTGGGATTTGATGACTAACAAAAAAAATGTTGTATTTGATGCTATAGTAATTAAATTTTTTATGTTTTTTTGTAATTAACATTAACACATAATTATATTGTCATTAATTATTTTTATTTTTATTTTTCAGATATTTCTCATATAGGAGTGTGCTTCTTGTGGAATGCATGCCTGTGGATAATGTGGCTAATTTTTGTTTTTGTTATTTACGAAGAATGATGAGAAAAACATTTAATTTTGGTTTATGTTGTTTTAAATTATGAACAAAATCTTGTATTTAAACATTATATATGTATTATGGAACATTATGTAGTGGGATAATTTTGTTGATGTGTAATTATGAATGGAAGAATATTTTATTATGGAGAAATTGTTATTTTTATACATGAATTTTTATATTATTATGCAATTATTATGGAGAAATTTTAATATTTTTAATAATTTATCGCAAGATTTTTTTTTTTTTTTTGTGACGACATTACACCGTCGCAAAAAATAGAAAATTTTAATATTTTTATTGATTTTGTTATAGGTTTTACTTTTTGCGACGACACTAAACTGTTGCAAAAAATAGAAATTTTATTATTTAAAATAGAAATTTTATTATTTTTTTAATTTTTTTGCGACGACAGTAAATTGTCGCAAAAATTGAAATTTTCATATTTTTAATACTTTTTGCGACAACACCAAACCGTCGCAAAAACAATGTTCTTGCCGTTGCAAAAAAAAAGACTATTAGCGACGGCTATTTTTTGCCGTCTCAAATAAAATTTTTAGCGACAATAAAATAGTGCCGTCGCAAAAAGTCAAGAAATTTCAAACATTTTTAGCGACTGCATAGTGCCATCGCAAAAGGCAAAAATGCCGTCGCAATCGCAAAAACTCTTTTGCAACGCCCCCAGTTGCGACCCCCTCTTGCCGTCGCAAAAAGTCATTTACCGACCGCATTAGGAGTATTAGCGACGACATTTTACCGTCGCAAAAAATTGAAATTTTAGTAGTGTTGGCAGCTATTTCATCAAATCCAATATCGTGAATTGCTTGATTTATCAATTTTTCTTTCGCAGCCTTAGTACTAATTGGTTATGTTGATGTATTAGTTGGTTATTGGTCCTCTTCAATATTATTGTTGAGTTGAAAAGCCTCATCTTCAGTTGTTGGATCCGAAAAATGGATAAGGTAGTGGCGTGACTATTTTGGGTTGTGTTCAAATTTCATCTCACTTACAACTTCGGTGTAAAATATCCCAACTTGTATCAAATGTAAAAGTTTTTTTTTTTTTTTGATACATGCGCTTAGTTTCAGCGACTTAAAAAATGAAAATTATAAACATTTCGATAAAAAGACTGAGAACTCAAAAAATTGATATTTAATAACAAAAATAAAAATTACCATGTCTGTCTTAGTTGTTTCACTTTGTTGCCTCAATTAGATTTGCTTAAGAAAATTATAGAGTTTATTAATTGCCTTTTGCATGACAGACCAACGGTGAGACAAAGAAATACGATTTCGATTTGATTCACCATTCAATTGTGAATTAAAATAAACGAGTACTAGTTCCCATAATATTGCCATGATCTAACTATTACCAACAATGAGATATTGAGAGACGGCCAACCAAGATTTACATAAAGTTTCATTTTCCAGAATAGTAAACACTTTACCACAAAAAATACGAGAAGTTTCCGAAATAAAAGTAACATTAGTGTTTTACTTTGAATTTTGTGATTACTCAAACATTTTAAAATCTTCTATAGTTTTAAGGTAAAATTTGTACAAATAAATAAGTTAAAAAAATTTAATGGGATACAACATCCAACTGACAGTGAAATATATTGTAAAAGAAACAAGAAAAAAATTAAAGAAAAAGTGAAAAATTAAAGAAATAATATAGACTAAAGATCACACAATGAGAAGACAAATGAAAAAAAGAAGAAGTGAAGATTGAAGTTAACAATGACAAAGAAAAGAGAAATCGTAATCAGTGTATTTGGTTTAAGTTTTTTGGATTAAGTTTTTTGAAAATTGACTTTTTTGATTTTCGTGTTTTTTTGTTTTTAGTGAATATTTTTTAAATTTTAAATTTTTTTTTAATTTTTTAGATGCACCTTACTTAGATGTATCTAAAAAGTAAAAAATTTGTGAAAAAATATTTTAAAAAATTAATAAATATATAAAAATACAAAAAATGTACTGAATTCTTGTATTTTTTTTATATTTTTGGTATTTAGTGAATTTTTAAAAGATTTTTTTAATATTTTTTTTACTTTTTAGGTGTATTTATGTTAGGTGTGTCTAAAAAGTAACAAAATTGCTTAAAATATTAAAAAACTTTAGTAAAAATAAAAAAACACGAAAAATAATAAAGTAGAATTTTCTGAAAAGTGTTTTTTGAAAAGTGAAAACAAGCAAGGTGAATGATATTGTGAAATTAAAAAACTGATAGAGTCTTATTTTATAGACCATAGTAACGATAACTTTGTCAAATCCTCTATAAAGTCAAATGTAATCTTATTGCAGTTGCACCCTGCTAAATGAACGTTTTATTTTTGTACAAATTTAAATCTATATGCAATGCATTTACCTATGCTATTCATGCATCAAGGTGTGGAAAAATTTTGTCTTAGACCATCTCCAATGGTTCACCAAAACTGATATCAAATTTAAAATTTGATGAAAAAGCCACTATTCACTGCTCCAACGGTTGCACCAAATGAATATCAGATTGAGATTTCATCAAACAATCCATCAAACTGACGACGAAATACTGATTTCACCAAAACACTGTTGGTGACCGTTGGAGGGGGGACCCGGTCGACCAACCGGTTGCCCAACCGGTTGACCAACCGGTAGACCGAATTCCTTTGAAATTGATAGGTTCAAACCGGTCAAAAAAAGTTCAAACAAGTATAAAATATATATATATATATTATTTTTGCCTTACCGGTTGCCGGCCGGTCGACCGGCCGGTCAACCACCAAAACCAAAACAGAGATGAAGCTGTTCTGAATACATTCCAAGTTCTTGATGAATTGACGAAGATGAGTGGTCCCAACATTCCACCTTGTTGAATTCTGGAAAAGTGGAGTGAAAATAAACCCAAACCAAAGATTCCTCTAATTCTGGATAGTTATTGAACAAATTCCCATCTCCATGAACAAAGCGTTCAAAAAAAAAATATTTACGGTTACCGGTTAACCCACCGGTCGACCCACCGGTCGACCAACCGGTTGACCCACGGGATTTGATGCACTGTTGGAGTGAGTGGTATCAAATTTGGTGAAATGGGTCATTTTTGACTCAGATTTGGTGAAAAATCTGAGTCACCGTTGGAGATGCTCTTAGTGCCACAAAAAGTAAACAACTTTGCAAGTTAGTTTGCAGTTCAAATCATGGTTGAGTTTTGGGAATTATGCAGTTAACCGAATGATCGGAGGGACAATTGGCTAGATGTACGGCCGATCGTCCGATGGGTCCCACCCCCAATATTCATGCATAGTAAACTAGTGAAAGTTAGCCAAAGTTCTCAATTTGATGAAGGATTTGAAATATTTTTAATTTAATACAAATTTATTGAAATTATTAAAAATAAAAAAAAAAATATTTTTTAACAAAATTTAAATTTGATGGTGGGTTTGGTTACGTCGGAGGCCTAAGTTGCGAGACGAGCCCTCTAAGACCATCTCCAATGGTTCATCAAACCTGATATCAAATTCAAAATTTGATGAAAAAGCTACTTTTTTGAGCTCCAACGGTTTCACCAAATCGATATCAAATCCAGAATTCAGCAAATCTGGTACCAAAATGAGAACGGGCGAAGCATTTTACCAAATCACTGTTCCTAACCGTTGGGAGAGACCAACCGGTCAACCAGCCGGTTGCCCGGCCGGTTGACCAACCGGAAACAATTCCAAAAAATATATATATATATATATACATATTTTTTTTCACCTTATCGGTGGACCAGCCAGTCGACCACTAAACGATTCAAGCAGTTCAAAAAAATTAGTTCAAACAGTTGAAAAAGAAAAAATTCCTCTTACCGGTCAACCAGCCGATTGCTTAACCGGTCGACCAACCGATTGTCTCCGACACAAATTTGATGAAAGTGCACCGTTGAAGTGAGTGGTATTAAATTGGTAAAATGAGTCATTTTTTACTCAAATTTAGTGAAAAATCTGATTTACCGTTCGTTGGAGATGTCTAAGAAGCTGAAGCACCTACTTTGCATTGAGATCGAAGAAACGCGCGCTAAGCTAAGGTAACAGATAGAGATGGCAAGGGACGCTGACTGTCCGAATTGCAAGAAATACGGAGTTCCTTTCTATGGTGTTTCCTGGGTCCCACCCAGCGCAATCGGATCTGACCCACCTATTCCAACACCCGAAGGAGAAGCCCACCGTCGCCACGGTGACGATGTACCTTCCGCCGACGCATCGCCACCGCCCGAGAACTACCTCGTTTTCTCCGGCGGCGGCGGCGAAGGTCGCAGCGGCATCCCCAACGCTCTCCTCCTCGCCAGCTTTGATTTCGCCTCCAATTCCCTCTCCGATCAGCCTGTGAGTCCCAATTTACTCTCAATTCTCTCTCTTTAAATCACATATATCTATCTATTCATTGAATACATTCATGCATAAATTATACACATGGATTTGTTGGACGACTATGGGAATTCTATCTGTGATACGTAAATTATCTCTTATTGCTGGAATTTTGATTCAAACTAGTGCCTAGCTTTACTGCATTTGTTCATGTTTAAGCTCACATTGATTTTTAAACCAAATTTTATTTGCATGGCTTGGGAGAATCAATCTAGTGTATCTTTTCAAATAAAAAATCAAAAATTCAGTGATAAATCTTACAAAATTTAATAATAAAATGTCATGTTATCAAGTTCAAATTTTTTTGTTTGAATAGAAAAAAAGTAGAGAGAGAGAGAGAGAGAGAGAGAGAGAGAGAGAGTAGTGAAAAGCAAAGAGAGTAGCACTAATTGACACCTTAGCATGGTGGTACTATTGGACTAGATGAGGAAAAATTAGGTTGGATTTAGAGCATTATTATTTGCTTTTGTTTTTTGCGCAAAGAAGTTGAGAGAGCACTTTTAAAAACACTTTGGACTGAGCTAAAATGTTGTCTTATGTAATTGAGTTTGTTTTTATGAGTATTCTTTAAAAGAATACTTAAAAAAGCAAAGACAGCAGAAAAAAATCCCAGTCACTGACTCACAGCAACTACCCTTGCCACTGGAACCATTGATGTGGTAGCTGCAGAGAAGGTTGCTCTCCATTTTTGCTCGTCTTATTGGTAGTAGATTGCAATTTTATAGAAGAAATACATATGTAGGTATCCTCATATGCATTTTGACTTTTGCTTCAAGAAATAAAAACCAAAGAGATCATTGATTACTTAGGGAACGTACTTTAAACACCATTTGGTTCTTTAGTTAAGAGAAGAATGATTGTGAAGAAGCTGTAAAGAAAATGAAAGGATGGGTTCAACAATTCCTCTTTTATGTAATTGTACTTTCAACTAAGACTTTATGTTTCTCTCCAAATCACCTCTTGACTTTATTTATTTTAATTAAATTTTTTTTATGTGGCCTGTTGGGATTGCTTTATTCTCTGTTTTCTCTCCACTTTAATCGTTATCTTTTTTTCCCCACACAGACAAACGGTGTTTCAAGAAAGCCCGGTCTAATGTGCCAAAATAGTCTTACTTAAGCCACTTACATGTAGCCTCTCTGTCATGGATTGGTTCATTGCATTTTTGATGACGTGAGCAGTACTACTGACTCTCTGTTTATTGTCCTGGTTGTCTTGCAAGTTGCAACTCATCTAGCTACTGTTATAGTTAAACAAATTATTGTCTTTCATTATTGTCTCTTACAAATCTTATTACTCACAGTTGAATCTGTGTTAAGACAGCATGCTATTCTGTGACGTGAGCCTTAGTTGCATTCTTCCCATGGTTTACAATTTCGGCCTTTTATTACGACCAAATTTATTCCTTTGGTTATCTTTCATTTTAGGTGTCAAAACTTAGAACTGGTGCTGATTTGCCTTACCGAATGGCTATCCACCCTGGAGGAGATGGCATTATTTGTTCATTGCCAAAAAGTTGCAGGTGCTTCTCTTTTCTTTTTTTCTTTTTTTTGTGTGTGAGAAGGAACTTAATTTTACAAAAGCACTGCAAATTTATTTATAGCTTGATGATGTCAGATAAGTCAACACTGCTAAATTTATACTTGAGAGCGAACTATGGGTTTGATTTACTTTCTTGGGGATTTCAAAAAATGCATAGTGATGATCCCATGTTTTTGTCTTAAATTCCGTAGTTTTGCTCAGGAAACTTAGTCTGGAGTTTGTATGTGATCCAAAAACTGCATTAAATGGCCAATGTAAATTAGTCATTATTTCTTGAGGATGCCAAGGGATTCATCTTTGATGTAGTTAATGTAAAGCTCGCTGGAAAAATTATGCGTATTGCATATTTACTGCCTAATATGGTATGGCTAATATATGCATTAGTTACATGGAGAATTTTGTGAGTAAGAGTAGTTCTGTTGGACATGATATGGTGTGGAGATGGCAATGGGATATGTACTAGACACATCTATCATTAGGCTTCCCCAGTATTTTTACTCAAAAATTAATAGAACAAATTTCTAGATTCCTAAGTTTCGTAGTTTCAAAATTTATTACTAGATATTTCCAAATGAGTTCAAGTATCCATTTCAAAGGAGAATATTTGCTTCGAATTGTTGTTTGATTCTAATTAGAGATGGGTTATATGTGATAAAGAAAATTCAATAAATAATTGTAAGTTGATTCAATATGCAATTCAGACAATATTTTGATGATGAATATCCATTTTGATTTCTGAAAGTTGAAACCTTTGTTTTGGGATATGATGTTATTTTGGTGCCTTCTTTTTTTATTTTCTTTTGTTCTTGTGGCCTTTTGTTTTTATGCAGGTGGTTTGAATGGGATCCAGTCAAGGGCACTGATGTTCAGAAACTGGGTCTAAAATCATCTGACATAGTCCTTGACAAACTGGAAGATATTGGGCAGCAGTTAGCATTGACTTTTAATAATGAAGGTTCTGTACTTGCTCTTGGAGGCGAGGTAGAGATCTTTTTTCACATTCTTCTGCTATTTCTTAATGTGCTTGCTGCATGGTAGAGAATGGGACGTCTTGGACATGACAAAGCAATTCTACATTATATTCTTGTTCTCGTGCTTGGTTTTAATGGAAGAAAGATGGGCATCCTATATATTTTAGTATTTGAAGCACATGCTGGATGGAAAGGAAAAACTCTTGTAGCACGAGAAGAAAACTCTTACTATTAATTTGGTGTTTTAAAGTTGTCTTATTTTCTTAAATTGGAATTCCATGCTTGTTATAAAATTTTTCTGTGGTTTATTGTTAGGGCTAGACACAAATTGTACATTGGGATGCTAACCCCAGGGGGTTGGCCTGGTGGCAAGGCCTTAGGTCTTGGGGTTGTGCTCCCTCCAAGGTTTAGGAATCGAAACCTCTTGGGTGCTAACAATTCCTTGGAGCCATCGGACTAGGGAAAACCCTTGAATTAATCAAGGTGCACTTGCGAGAAACTCCTTGCTAAGGGTATGTGCACCTCTAGAAATTAGTCGGGCTTTGATCCAGACACCCTATACACACACACGCGCACACACACACATATATATGATGCTTCTGTTCCAGAATAGGAATTCCAGATCCTGCACTGCATATTGGGGACCATATAAGATATATATCATTTCAATTAAATTTTAATACTGGTGTGAGAATCTAATTTGACTTGAGATTAGATCAAGTTATATAAGGAATTACTTGATTAAAAGACAGTTTACAGTGTTAGGGAAAAAAATGAAGAAGCATTCCTTGCAAAATTAAATTTAAGTAGTGATGGGGATCAAGGAAGGGGAAGAATGAAGACATTCGTTAGGCCCAAGAGGTGTCAATTGAAAGATTTGTAATTTTAGAAGATTTAGTTTTATTAGGATTTTGTTTATATTTTTAATTATTTATAGTTTTTAAAATTTTTTATTTGTTAGTTCTATGTATGGAAAAACATTTACAATTTTTATGAATGAAAATTGATTTGAGAATTCTTTAGAACCCTAGTTTTTGCATCTTCTTCACTGGTTCTACTCCAAATTGTTTATACAATCACTACTTTCTTTCATATTATTTTGTAAATTTTAAAAGAACTGTTGTCATCTAACTAACACATGCACAGAAACGCACACTAGTAGAGTAGAGACATCTATTGTTTGGACAACCTCCTACTTGTAAACCTTTGTACCTTTAAAGGATAAGCTTTTGATGTAGCACCATTCATGAGGCTTCCATTGAACACTTGGTGGTAAACAAAACTTGCTAATACATTCTTTCTATATATTGATGAGAAGGACATTAAAAGCAGAAGAAAGAAGATAATATAGATAGTTGTGAACAGTGGAGGGGAAAGAACTATGATGGAGAAATAATAGAAGACTAGAGGAGATGAATGTACAATAATGCATAAAAAGTGAAGAAAAAATATTTAACAAAATTGGATATGAAAATAGATTAAGAACTCAAAAGAGTAGCTTAGTCGAATGATAAGATTTGTCGTTTGCATCCCTGGTGGAGCGGATTCAAGTCACAAAAATAATTTCTCCAGAAATTGGGATAAAGTTGCAATTATCTTACCCTTCTTAGATTTCGCTAATGCTAAGTTTGTTTTTTCGACTATTTAATTTTCTTAAATTACCGCAATATTTGAATGTTTGTTTCTTAGTTTGTTTTTCTTAGTCTATTTGATTCAATACCACTTAATTTTTATTATTTATTTTGACAGCATAAATTAGTATTTAGACAACAAACATAAAATTTACAACAAAATATGTCATACAATACAAAACAAGGCTTGTAAATTAAATCGGATAGGAACGGATTCGGATCGGGATTCCACGATCCTATAAGATCCCACTACTAGGATTGAAAGATCCTACCTATAAGGAGTTTTTTATACGATCCGGATCGATTGTACTCAAATGGATCGTAAGATCGTAGGATCGTAAGATCCGGATCGGGATTCTGATAACCATGTTTAGAACCCTAGTTTTTGCATCTTCTTCATTGGTTCTACTCCAAATTGTTTATACAATCACTACTTTCTTTCATATTATTTTGTAAATTTTAAAAGAACTGTTGTCATCTAACTAACACATGCACAGAAACGCACACTAGTAGAGTAGAGACATCTATTGTTTGGACAACCTCCTACTTGTAAACCTTTGTACCTTTAAAGGATAAGCTTTTGATGTAGCACCATTCATGAGGCTTCCATTGAACACTTGGTGGTAAACAAAACTTGCTAATACATTCTTTCTATATATTGATGAGAAGGACATTAAAAGCAGAAGAAAGAAGATAATATAGATAGTTGTGAACAGTGGAGGGGAAAGAACTATGATGGAGAAATAATAGAAGACTAGAGGAGATGATCTGGATGTGTTTGGTTTTTTGGATTTTTTGGATGACTTTATTGGCTAGGGGGTGTTGTTTCCCCATCATGGGGCTCTTTCTTTGTATTCTTTTGCATCAGCTTGATGCGGCTTTCAATAATACTGACTAGAGGACATGAATTTACAAAGCAAGAATCAGAAAAAGAAGTATAAACAAAGGCATGTAGAAGAGAGGAATAGAGAAGAAGAATAGAGAGAGAGAGAGAGAGAGAGAGATGTGTTTGTAACTATTTTTGGGCTTCTACACAACCTAAATAAATCAATTAACATTATCTTCTTGCGACTCCCGTGTCAACTTGACTACATAACATTTCCTTTGCTTGCACCACAATTTTGCCCCAACACTAGCTGCCTCTGTGTGCTCAACAGAGACACATTCCTCGCAAGAATAAGCATATCCCTGCTGCCACCCTCAAATTGGCCTCTTCAACTTTCAAACTATGTGCATTGAATTTTAATAATGTTTTCGTTATATAACCAAATCTTTTTTTTTTTCTTTCTTTTTTCTGGTGAATTTTTTTGCTGAATTGAAGATTCTTATACATTCAATTAAACCAAAGAAAACCACACAATGCTTGACTATCTCAGAATCTCATCAAGGTTTTTTTTTTTTCTCTTCACCTCCTTAGCTTTTGAAAAGATATTTGGACGAAAGATGCATCTGAATGGACTAAATAGATATGCAAATTGGACCTTTCAGTTCATACTCTTTTATTCTATTTTCTTTGTTAAAAATGAACTAGCTCAATAAGCAGTTTTATACACGCAAACACAGACATCGTTTACTGATGGTTGATCATATTCCCAACCACATTTAGATCTTAGAATCTACACGTGATCATCACACAATGCCATATATGATCCTTCTGATAAAAGGTAGACCCAGCTCTGGATTGAAGATGCTGACTTTTTGGTTGCTGTATTGTCATTTCTCACGACATGGAATCTACAATTTTGTGCTTAACCTGTCCTTTTTCAGATGGAAAAGTTGAAATTTAGAAGCAAAATGGCATCTTTGTGCAGATTATTAAGTTACATGATGGTCCTATTTTTGGTGCAGTACAGGATGGAAAGTTGAGGGTTTTCAAGTGGCCTAGCATGGAAATCATTCTTGATGAAGTAAATGTTCATGCCTCTGTGAAGGATTTAGATTTCAGGTTCACAGTAATAGCTTCGCTAAATGAAATTTTGACTCTTGATACCAAAGGTTAAATTTATTTATTTTTTTTCTTCATTTGTAATGCTCTTTTGCTGATAGTTGGGTTTGGCCATGTCATGCAGCCCTGATGGGAAATTTCTCGTGTCGGTAGGAAGCAGTGGCCCTGGTAGGGTTTGGGATGTAACATCATCAACGCCTGTGGCTTCTTTGTCAAAGGAAAATGTGAGCAATACTTCGTACTCAATGGATTTAGGAACAGTGGTGAGCTTAGAAATCTCACTGAGGGGCCAAAACTATATACAATTAAAAATTGACCACAAAATTTATCTTATTACATTCTTACTAAGTATCGTATGTATGGTGTACTAAAATATTCACTCATATAAAAATAAAAATTTAACACTCACATTGAATTTGCAAATAAAATTTTAAGTTAATATTAAATAGACATTTACGAAACAAAAATATAAAAACAGAAATATAAATTACATTTCACACATTGTACAAAATAAAAAATAATAATAAAAGATAAAATGTAAGTATTTTTTCACATAGCCACATTGGATCATAACCAACACTAAGCCATAACCGAAGACAACTTTAATCGTAAGTAAAATTATTACAATGAGTAGGAACCAAAGCCACTATAACCAGTTTTAATTTAACATTTTGCTGGCTCTACCACTGCAATAACTTGTAATCAACACCAATTTGAACCATAACTGGCATATAATATACATATATTTTACACCAAGTGTATTGTAGCATGACCTTAGATGAAGGCTTTAAACAAATGGACTTCAAAGAAGAAGAAAAATTGAAACATGGGGGCCCCAGCTATTTACAAGTAATGGACCAAAAATAAACACAGTAGTATATTTAGCAAGATTTTCCAAATGTTGGTACCCCCGTGTCTGCCGATGTTAATGAACTAAATTTTATACGAACTTTTGGTGGAGTGGTAGGATGGCAGGATCGTTTAAAGAAAGTTGTTTCTTTTATTTTACAGATATGAAGTTGCTCTTTCTGAGAACTGCCACTCTTTCTTTCTCATGGTTGTGTATCTAAATATGCTTCTCTTGTCCAGGATGAGATGTTTGGCTTTTGTAGGTTCTCTCGAAGTAATGATAAGAATCCAGTTCTCTATATTACTGCCATGCGAGGTGATTTTTTAGGATTGAATGCATTCTTCCTTTTCTTTTTTTCTTTTCTTTTTTTCTGAAGAAAGTTGCTTTCTTTAATACCATTTTATGAACAAAAAATCGTGAACCACGTTCTGCCTATATAGGTCAAGGTGGAAGTATTGTGAAATGGAACACTTCTTTATGGAAGAGGGTGAGCTCAAAGCACATAATTCAAGACCCAATTTCTGCTTTTAATGTTTCAGCTGATGGAAAGCTCCTTGCAATGTAAGAATTCTCCAGTTAATTTGTTTTAGGTTCTTAAGACATGTATTTCCATTGTTTTTTAAGGCTGTGCCTGGATCATAAATTTGAGTAGGGATTTGGAAAGGGAAAGGAAAAGGGAAAGGAGAGGGAAATGAAGAAAAAATTTAGCTTATATTTCATTAATGTTTCCCTTTTCTAAATCCTTACCCAAATCTATAATCGAAACACAGCTTTAAGATACTGAGGAGACTAAGAATCGGGGACTGACCTTACTTAAATTCATTTTTATTTATTTTTATAATAACTAAAAGCATGGAAAGGACAATAGTCAATAATTGGAGTACTTGCATAAGAATCTCCATCTTCTCCATGTTTGGGAATGTCAAGGTAAGATATTCAAGGGATTCTTTTGCATGGCAGTTCAACCCTTCACTATTTTTCTTGAAGGCAAGAGGAATTGGTCAAAATTTGATGAATTAAAAAAAGAGAGAAGTACTCTGATCAGGTACTTCTAATCATCAGTGATGCAATTCATAAGAAAAGCAAGAAAACCAGATTTGTTTTTAGCTTAACCATTGAAATCCTACTCCTCGACCCAGTTTCCATGCCTACCATGATTAATCAAAGCCCTACCCATTTGTTTGTTTAATTACAGTCCCAAAGTCCTACCCATCTGTAAACCCACCAAATGCCATAATTTGACCACCTTTAAACTATAAAATTACATGTTTTATTAACCCTAAGAGAAAAAGACTAAAGAGAAATTTGAGGCACTTATTTATCATGACTTACAATTGTCACCAATTTTTATCATGTATTTTCACCAATGCTTTGGATTTATTTTCTGTTTTTGATCGATCAACATGCAGAGGAACAATTCAAGGTGATGTTTTAATTATAAATTCCTCCAGTATGCATGTACAGAACATGGTTAGAAAAGCACACCTTGGCCTTGTAACCGCATTGATGATCTCCCAAGATTCGAGGTTTTAATACTTAGTCCATTTTATATTTTTTTATGAATCAAAACTTCAGTGTGTGGCTGCACTCTCTAAGAAATGTTGTTGATGGTGAAGCATGTGGCTTTAAATACAGGGCTTTGGTCTCTGCATCCCTGGATTCAAGTGCAAGGGTGACTCTAATCAAGGACGACAAGAAAAATGGTATGTTCCATATAGACTACATTTTGTTGAACGTTTAAATAACCAAACCAAACCAAACCAAACCAAGCCTTAAGTCTCATCAAATGGGGTCGGCTACATGAATCCTTCTTCTCCATCAAATGGTCTTGTATTTTGAAGTCCCTTAATCAATTTTAGAGTAAATTTCACTTTACTCGTTGTGTGTTGGCCCATGTGCGGGTCATGAACTTATCATTTGGAAATAACCTCATAACCGTATGTGGTTTGTGGACTAAAACACACCGTTAGCTTTTTTATCTAAGATAATGTGCTGTGAGAGGCACGCGCCTCTGTGGAGGAGAGTGAGTACATTTTTAAGATGAAAAAATCCCTTGTACATTTTCAAATTTTAAAAAAATGTCAGTTCTTTTCTCCCACTATCTATAATTTTTCTCTGCTCTCTTTCCTCTGTTTCCTTCCTAGAAGATCCCGTGCCCATGTGAAATTACCAAGATTCATGAACTACAACATATATAGACAATTATAGTGATGCTATATGTATATACACAATTATATATAACAGAACGAAAGTGAAAATGATTTTAAGTTACTCTAGTCTTTCCAGCACACTAATATGTATGTAGAACCTAGCCCTCTACCCTTTCACTAGTTGACTGTATCACTGGCCAAAGGATCTGCACAGGTCTGCCACATCTGTTGCAGAAGCTTGTGCTTTCTTCTTCTCTCATGACCTATGAAGCACGGGTGCGGGTGCAGATATGGGTACGGGTACGATATGGGTATACCAATACGGCAAATTCTTAAAACAGTAGGGTACGGGTACGGGTACGGGTGGGGGTACGTCAATTTTTTTTTTTAATTTTTTTAAAAAAAATTTATAGCTAAAAATCTAACTTGCAAATCAAAGTTTCAATAGCAAAGCTAAAAAGAGAACAACTTGTCTAAAAAGTTATATAATTTTTTCTTTTTCTTTTTGATTGTCTAAAATAGGATGTAAAAGAGAGCAAAACCATGAGTCATGGGTAAAGGGAGTTAGAAATAAATTACTCGATATTTTCAAATTTGAAAGAAGAATAACAAAGGCTACAATAAATTCATGCAGCTGCAAAAAAAAAAAAAAACAAAAAAAAATCACCTCGCCATACCAGTGTCGTACCCAGGCCATACCCACGATGTACCCAAATGTATTTGACGTACCCTGCATGTATTTGGTGTACTCGGTATCTGTACTGCCGTACCGGTACGCGTACCCGCATCCGGTACTCATACGGTACCATTTTTGGAATACTTGTGCTTCATAGCTCATGACTTTGTCAGGCAAAGTGGTAGAGAGAGAGACGGGAAAATAGTTTATTATTGGTGAAGAGAGGCTTTTTGTGCTTATATAGTAGTGTGATTAGGCATGATAAATAGAGAATTTATTTGTGGCAGAGAAGAAAGGGTCTTAGCGGGGTAGAGGCGGCAACCATGGGAGGAAGAGAGAATATGTTTAGGTATGTGTATAGATTTCATACAGAAGATGCTGATAAAAAAATATAGATTTAATATAGGGTATAAAGACAATTCACATATTTGTTAATAGAAGTTAGTATGTGTTTTTAGTTTACAAACCACATGGGAGTTATATGATTTTTTTCAAATGACTTGATTTGCACAGAGGCCAAACCTTGAGGGTGTAAGGTAAAATTTGCCTTAAATTCTATGAGTTTGCTCTCTACACTCCTAACTCTATCGTACTACATCTTCTAATAGGTGGCTTATCACTTGCCTTTTCTCGTCTTCATACTGGAACAATCTATGTATCTAGTATATATATGGATTTTATTGTCAATATGAGTGCTGATGTAATGGCCAATTGTATGAGGAGAATCTCAAGGGAAGTTCTTAAAGAGTCGAAAGAAAAGGGATCCAATTTTAGGAAAACTTGGTGGTGGAGGGAAGAGGTCCAAGCGGTAATAAAGACAAAAAAAGAGAGTTTTAAAAAGTGGCAGAATGATAGAATTGAGGAAAACCTTAAGCGCTACAGATTGGCCAATAAGGAGATCAAAAAAGTAGTAAGAGAGACTAAGTTGAAAGCCTATGATGACCTATACACTAGATTAGATAATAAGGAGGGAGAGAAAATGATATACAAAGTTGCTAAAATAAAAGAGAAGAAAACAAAAGAGTTTAATCAGGTTAACTACATCAAGGGTGAGGACTCTAAGGTGTTGGTGAAGGATGAAGAAATTAAGGAGAGGTGGAAGAACTATTTTGAGAAGTTGTTAAATGAGGAACATGTAGGTCAAAAGGGGAAGAAGTAGGCAGTAATAAGGAAAATCAGGACTATAGGTTCTTTCGTAGGATTAAGGACTTTGAAGTGGAGTTTGCACTTAAGAAGATGAAATTGAATAAGGATCGATGATATACCTATTGAAGCATGGAAATGTTTGGAAAAGAAGGGGGTTGTTTGGTTGACTAGATTATTTAGCAAGATTTTGTTGACTAGGAAAATACCAGAAGAGTGGAGGAAGAGTATTTTAGTGCCAACTTATAAGAATAAAGGAGATGTCCAGAATTGCAACAACTATAGAGGAATCAAGTTAATATGTTACACAATGAAGCTGTGGGAGAGAGTGATGAAACGTCGATTGCGAGATATAACAGAAGTGTCAGAGAATCAATTTGAGTTTATGCCTGGTAGGTCAACAATAGAAGCGATATATCCTTTGAGGAGAGCAATAGAAAAGTATAGAGAAAAAAAAAAGACATTTATATGATTTTTATTGATCTTGAGAAGCATATGATAGAGTGCCTCGGAATATCATCTGGTGGATTTTAGAGAAGAAGATGTGATAAAAGGTTACATTGATGTGATTAGGGATATGTATAAAAGTGCGGTGACCATTATTAGATCGCCTGCTGGAGAAACGAGTGAATTTTCAACTACTGTAGGGTTACACCAAGGATTAACCTTAAGTCTTTATCTTTTTGCTTTAGTTATAGATGAGTTGACGTGCAATATTCAGGATGATGTGCCATGATATATACTTTTTTGCAGGTGATATCTTGTTAGTGGATGAGACTAGAGAATGAGTTAAAACTAAGTTGGAGATTTGGAGAAAAACACTTGAATTTAAAAGATTTAGGATAAGCAGAACTAAAAGAAAGTATATGGACACAATGGAAGTAGAGGAGAAGTGAAGATTGAAAACCAATAACTACTTAAGAATGAACATTTTTGTTATTTAGGATTGATTATCACAATGACTGGGGAGATTGGAGCAGATGTGGTCCACAGAATTAAGGCGAGGTAGCTTAAGTGGAGGAGTGTTTCTATATTACTGTGTAATAAACGAGTATCCATTAGACCAAAAGAGAAGTTTTATAGAATGACTATAAGACCAACGATGTTCTACGGGACAGAATGTTGGGCAACTAAGAAACAACATATAGATAAGATGAGTGTTGCTGAGATGAGGATGCTAAGGTGAATGTGTGGCAAGATTAGAAAAGACAAAGTTAGGAATGAGTATATTCGAGAATGGGTAAGATTAGTATCGATAAAAGATAAGTTAAGAGAGAATAGATTGAGATGGTTTGGTCATATATAACGGAGACCAACAGAGGCAGTAGTGAAGAGATGCGATACAGTGACAGCAGATGGTAGTGTTGGAGGAAGGGGTAGACCTATATTGATATAGACTAGTGTAGTAAATAGAGATATGAATCTTCTTAATTTGTCTAACGAAATGACTTTGGATAAAGTCGAGTTGAGAAAAAGGATTCATGCAGTCGACCCTATTTGATGGGACTTAATGTTATGTTTGGTTTGGTTTGGTTTGATTATGAATATTGACGTAAATTCTTTTGGGCTATGGGAGGCATACTCTTATAGCCCAAACTAAGGCTAGGCCAGGTCGAGCCTTAAGTCTCATCAAATGGGGTCGGCTACATGAATCCTTCTTCTCCATCAAATGGTCTTGTATTTTGAAGTCCCTTAATCAATTTTAGAGTAAATTTCACTTTACTCGTTGTGTGTTGGCCCATGTGCGGGTCATGAACTTATCATTTGGAAATAACCTCATAACCGTATGTGGTTTGTGGACTAAAACACACCGTTAGCTTTTTTATCTAAGATAATGTGCTGTGAGAGGCACGCGCCTCTGTGGAGGAGAGTGAGTACATTTTTAAGATGAAAAAATCCCTTGTACATTTTCAAATTTTAAAAAAATGTCAGTTCTTTTCTCCCACTATCTATAATTTTTCTCTGCTCTCTTTCCTCTGTTTCCTTCCTAGAAGATCCCGTGCCCATGTGAAATTACCAAGATTCATGAACTACAACATATATAGACAATTATAGTGATGCTATATGTATATACACAATTATATATAACAGAACGAAAGTGAAAATGATTTTAAGTTACTCTAGTCTTTCCAGCACACTAACATGTATGTAGAACCTAGCCCTCTACCCTTTCACTAGTTGACTGTATCTCCGGCCAACGGATCTGCACAGGTCCGCCACATCTGTTGCAGAAGCTTGTGTTTTCTTCTTCTCTCATGACCTATGAAGCACGGGTGCGGGTGCAGATATGGGTCGGGTACGATATGGGTATACCAATACGACAAATTCTTAAAAAAGTAGGGTACGGGTACGGCTGGGGTACGTCAATTTTTTTAAAATTTTTTTTTTTAAAAAAATTTATAGCTAAAAATCTAACTTACAAATCAAAGTTTCAATAGCAAAGCTAAAAAGAGAACAACTTGTCTAAAAAGTTATATAATTTTTTCTTTTTCTTCTTCTTTTTGATTGTTTAAAATAGGATGCAAAAGAGAGCAAAACCATGAGTCATGGGTAAAGGGAGTTGGAAATAAATTACTTGATATTTTCAAAATTGAAAGAAGAATAATAAAGTCTGCAATAAATTCATGTAGCTGAAAAAAAAAAAAAAAAAAAAAAAAAAAAAAAACCCCCCCCCGAACACGCCGTACCAGTGTCGTACCCAGGCCGTACCCACGATGTACCCAAATGTATTTGACGTACCCTGCATGTATTTGGCGTACTCGGTATCCGTACTGCCGTACCGGTACGCATACCCGCACCCGGTACTCGTACGGTACCATTTTTGGAATATTTGTGCTTCATAGCTCATGACTTTGTTTGGCAAAGTGGTAGAGAGAGAGACGGGAAAATAGTTTATTATTGGTGAAGAGAGGCTTTTTGTGCTTATATAGTAGTGTGATTAGGCATGATAAATAGAGAATTTATTTGTGGCAGAGAAGAAAGGGTCTTAGCGGGGTAGAGGCGGCAACCATGGGAGGAAGAGAGAATATGTTTAGGTATGTGTATAGATTTCATACAGAAGATGCTGATAAAAAAATATAGATTTAATATAGGGTATAAAGACAATTCACATATTTGTTAATAGAAGTTAGTATGTGTTTTTAGTTTACAAACCACATGGGAGTTATGTGGTTTTTTTCAAATGACTTGATTTGCACAGAGGCCAAACCTTGAGGGTGTAAGGTAAAATTTGCCTTAAATTCTATGAGTTTGCTCTCTACACTCCTAACTCTATCGTACTACATCTTCTAATAGGTGGCTTATCACTTGCCTTTTCTCGTCTTCATACTGGAACAATCTATGTATCTAGTATATATATGGATTTTATTGTCAATATGAGTGCTGATGTAATGGCCAATTGTATGAGGAGAATCTCAAGGGAAGTTCTTAAAGAGTCGAAAGAAAAGGGATCCAATTTTAGGAAAACTTGGTGGTGGAGGGAAGAGGTCCAAGCGGTAATAAAGACAAAAAAAGAGAGTTTTAAAAAGTGGCAGAATGATAGAATTGAGGAAAATCTTAAGCGCTACAGATTGGCCAATAAGGAGATCAAAAAAGTAGTAAGAGAGACTAAGTTGAAAGCCTATGATGACCTATACACTAGATTAGATAATAAGGAGGGAGAGAAAATGATATACAAAGTTGCTAAAATAAAAGAGAAGAAAACAAAAGAGTTTAATCAGGTTAACTACAGGACTTTGAAGTGGAGTTTGCACTTAAGAAGATGAAATTGAATAAGGATCGATGATATACCTATTGAAGCATGGAAATGTTTGGAAAAGAAGGGGGTTGTTTGGTTGACTGGATTATTTAGTAAGATTTTGTTGACTAGGAAAATACCAGAAGAGTGGAGGAAGAGTATTTTAGTGCCAACTTATAAGAATAAAGGAGATGTCCAGAATTGCAACAACTATAGAGGAATCAAGTTAATATGTTACACAATGAAGCTGTGGGAGAGAGTGATGAAACGTCGATTGCGAGATATAACAGAAGTGTCAGAGAATCAATTTGAGTTTATGCCTGGTAGGTCAACAATAGAAGCGATATATCCTTTGAGGAGAGCAATAGAAAAGTATAGAGAAAAAAAAAAGACATTTATATGATTTTTATTGATCTTGAGAAGCATATGATAGAGTGCCTCGGGATATCATCTGGTGGATTTTAGAGAAGAAGATGTGATAAAAGGTTACATTGATGTGATTAGGGATATGTGTAAAAGTGCGGTGACCACTATAGGTCGCCTGCTGGAGAGACGAGTGAATTTTCAATTACTGTAGGGTTACACCAAGGATTAACCTTAAGTCCTTATCTTTTTGCTTTAGTTATAGATGAGTTGACGTGCAATATTCAGGATGATGTGCCATGATATATACTTTTTGCAGGTGATATCTTGTTAGTGGATGAGACTAGAGAAGGAGTTAAAACTAAGTTGGAGATTTGGAGAAAAACACTTGAATTTAAAAGATTTAGGATAAGCAGAACTAAAAGAAAGTATATGGAGTGTAATTTTAATAACAGTCACAATGGAAGCAGAGGAGAAGTAAAGATTGAAAACCAAGAACTACTTAAGAATGAACATTTTTATTATTTAGGATTGATTATCACAACGGCTGGGGAGATTGGAGCAGATGTGGTTCACAGAATTAAGGCGAGGTAGCTTAAGTAAAGGAGTGCTTCTGTATTACTGTGTAATAAACGAGTATCCATTGGACTAAAAGAGAAGTTTTATAGAACGACTATAAGACCAAAGATGTTCTATGGGACGGAATGTTGGACAACTAAGAAACAACATATAGATAAGATGAGTGTTGCTGAGATGAGGATGCTAAGGTGGATGTGTGGCAAGATTAGAAAAGACAGTTAGGAATGAGTATATTCGAGAATGGGTAAGATTAGTATCAATAGAAGATAAATTGAGAGAGAATAGATTGAGATGGTTTGGTCATATATAACGGAGACCAACAGAGGCAGTAGTAAAGAGATGCGATACAGTGACAGCAGATGGTAGTGTTAGAGGAAGGGGTAGACCTATACTGATATAGACTAGTGTAGTAAATAGAGATATGGATTTTCTTAATTTGTCTAACGAAATGACTTTGAATAAAGTTGAGTGGAGAAAAAGGATTTATGCAGCCGACCCTATTTGATGGGACTTAATGTTATGTTTGGTTTGGTTTGATTATGAATATTGACGTAAATTCTTTTGGGCTATGGGAGGCATACTCTTATAGCCCAAACTAAGGCTATCAAGTTATTAATTTTCTACAAAGCTTATCAAAATACTAAGAAACATATATATATATATATATTTTGGGCAGGATTGAACTTGTGGATCATTATATTAATCATTTTGCTTGCAATGGCTGTGTATTATGTGAAGGCGGAAGGTATTTTTCCATAGAGGATTCTGTATATATTACCTAAATGATGTTTGTTCAATGGCATCGTGGTATAATTTTTAAAATATATGAATTGGAGGCTTGTTTGAGGAAAAGTGATCAGGATTGCCTTTTGTTTTGGTTTTTCGAAGTTCTTTGCAATGTGCCTCTCTTTTTGGTCTTTGGATTTTTTAGAACTTGTACAGACTGTACACCTCAATTGTAGGGCTCTGTTCTTGATTATACAATCAAAAATGTTTCAGACTCCCACTGGGGTGACCCCAAGGACCCCAGTGGGGTGTGATTGGCCAAGAATTTTTATTTTTATTTTTTATTTTTTTATTTTTTTATTTTTCCAATGACCAACCCCCACGTGTGCGTGGGGGGTGGGGCAATGTGGGGGTCTCAATCACGTTTGTTATACCATTTATATGTAAATTGTTGCTTTGTTTAGAACATTGTGTGTTTGTCTTACAGTGGTTTCGATATTTTGTTCTTACTTTCATTCTGTTTCTAGAAAGAAAAAAAAAAAAAACAAGATTGAACTTCAGAATCAAACATCACATACCAAGATGCAACAACGAATGACTGATTGGTCTGGTGTTTGATGATAAGCTATAGAAAGCTTATGGACTGGTTGGCTATGCTTTTGTTGTGTTTTGAAATCAAAACAATGGAAAGTTTGGAAAGGACTCAATGTTTTCATGTAGTTTTCTTTTGTACGAAAACAATTTTTAAAAAAATTCAAATTTTTTTTTTTTAAATTTTAAATTGGGCTGTTTCCAGGGAACTCTATATCAAAATAGTATGTATCGGAAAAAGGCTTTCTATGTTTTCCGATTAAAAAAAAAAGGTAAAATGGAAACACAACTGAATTGCTCATCATGCTGCTCTTCTAGCCCATTCAAACCAGACACCTGTGCAAAGTATAGTTTTGCAAAGATGACCATCTCTATGTCATCGAACATTTTCAAATCAAAAGGGACTATTGCAACTAAGTTTCCTGACTAGAGAGACTAGTTTGAAAATAGTAAAACTAACTAGTTTAAATTAAAACCGCAATTTTTTAAGGATAAATTACAAGTACGCCTCCAGAAATTTGATTAAAATATGAATCACCTTCTGTGATTTTAAAAATTACATTCCACCCCTTGAGATTTCTGATTTCGTAACAAATTAACCGTTTTATTAATAAATCATAAAATCAATTAATAGTTTTTAATGATGTTAAAAATATGTTTCAATTAATAATTTAAGTAATTTTATCATTGCATTAGAGAGCAATTATGAATTTTATTTTTTTAATTAATTTTGTTAAATAAAAAATTCTAACAATGAGTGTTTGTAATTTTTGAAATTACAAGAGATAATTTGTATTTTAAACAATGTATTTGTAACTTACTTTTTTTCTTAGTACTGTTAGGCAAGTTATGCTTTTTGGAAGAGAATACTAATTTTCCCCTGATCAAAGCAGTTAAAGAAAATCAAGGATTTCCCACCTAATAAATTCACAAGATCTTACCAATCAATCACAACCGACATTTCATTGTACCATAAGAACTACACTATTGGGAATTCATTACCAATTCAAAAACAATAATAATGAATAAATACAAAAAAACTTCTATGACCCAAATGTAATCAGATTGCAAGATTGCTTGCAAGCTCACCTTGCACAACAATTAAGTCTCAAATTAAGTTCTCATTTTCTTTAAAACAACATTTACATTGCGGTGCTACATGTGCCCAACAAAAGCAAAACTGCGCGAAATAAACTTCAGAATGTGAAAAATTGAAACTGAAATGTGATGTACATCAATTGGCCATGGGGGGCAAAATAAAGGCTGGGATTGGTTAAGCCTAGTATATCCACTAGTTTTACTTTGAAAGGCTCAGGACGGAGATTAAGAGTTCGCATGATACATTTAGCAGAGTTTTTATATTTATATAAATACAAAAAGGTAAGAATTCTTTGAGAAAATTCACCGAAATAAAAAAGCATCACTTGTGTTTTCTTTGATAGAGAGAATAACCGACAAGGGCAGACATAAGAAATGTCCATAGCACCTGCAAACAAAACAAATTGTCACATAAATGGACATCACTCTTAAGAGAATGATAATTTCATTTTAAAAAAGAAAAAGAGAAGATGTAATAGACAAAGATAAGGAGTGATCCAAGTGAAATATTATTGTGGGCTAAGAAGCGCAGATACAAATACAAGACACATACGACATGATACAAACTGCACACAATACACATATATTTCATTATAAGAAAATAATAATGCTTTTCTTCATTTTCTACATTACACAATACATATAAATATTTTTTTGATAAATCACACCATATGTGTATATTTCATTATACAAAAATAGCAAGAAGTCATTTTAACATCTATATAATAAGGGGGTTGAGAAGCCATTTAGACATCAGGTTTTAGAAAATGTCTTAGATACAATTGGTTAGAAGGGGGCTGAGATATGACATGTTACAAGCATGCACACAACACGGCAAGGACACAATAAAAATAGTAAGAAATCATTTTTACATTCCTTTTATTTTGAGAACAATTGTGAATAAAAAACACTAATTATGTTTTGGAAATCTTTATTTATTAACAAACTGGATATCTTGGGCTTTAGAATTCCTAAAATTCACAAGTCTAAAAGAGGAGGGGATTAATAAGTACAAATCTACATTTTTATTTCACCATTGAATCTCAAGTTATTTTTTCCCGAATTTGCAATGTGTTTCATGTGTATCCAAGCGATGAAAACATGTATCCATCAAATGTTCAAAGTGTCTGGTTCAAATTTTATCCATCAAGTGTTCAAAGTGTGTCTAGTTCAATTTTTTTTTTTAAAAAAATAAGAAAATAAAATAGGACACGTTCGGAGGCATGTGCAACACATGTTCAACACGGACATGGCACCTGCTTAGAGGTTTCCTAGATTGTAGGTAAGTAAGTAGGAATTACTGTATTGATTGTATGCCACCGTTCGAGTCTCTTGATCCTTGACTGCATATCTTCAATTACGCCATCTAATGGAGAAACCTCCCGACTTGGTGATGACTCTGAGGCTGTACTACTGCCCTGTTTCTCCATGCCAATATTACACGGAAGGATCAGAAAATGCAAAAGACATGTGAAAATAAAACTCATGCTTGACAGTGACATTTATAAATGCAAGCAAAATGCACATTTTAAAGGTTCTTTTGAGGTTTACATTCAAAGTGCCCGTGGTTGTCGGCTTCATAGTAAGATTATGGTAAGAGCATCTCCAATGGCAAATGCTATAATAGCGTTGCCATTGCTATAATTTGGCAATGAATAGTAAAAAATGGTAGAATTATAGCTATGGTGCTCCAATTTGTTAGATGCCATTTTGGTAGAACCAAGCACAAAAACTGACGGTTTTTATGTTTGGTTCTACAAAAATGACGGTTTTGCAAAAATTTATCTATTCTGCTGGGAGAGTGGGAAGGAGGAAGGGAGGGAAATAGTTGGTTTTGGCTGAGTTGGTGAATATGGCAGCTGCCAAAGCTTGTGCCAAGCTTTGGCATTTGCCAAATTTGGCAGCTATCATATTCACCATTGGAGCAACACTGCTGTTATATTATAGCAATGGTAGCTCCGATGGCAAACCATTGGAGTCGCTCTAAGAAGGCTTCTAATGAGTCTTACTCTGCAGCCGGTGGAACACTCATGTCTTTTGTTCTGAAGACATTTTTTAATAGATTGAATTGTACTAACACTCAGATGCAATACCCAATACCAAGTAATTAATTTGAAGGGTTTAATCAGCAACCCCTGTAGTATGTGGCTGGCTGGGCATGAGAGAGTGAGAGATACTATTGAGATATTATTTTTTACTGCCAAAAATTGCTAAAACAACTAGCTATATATCACTGTATTCCAATCATTATAGGGCATTCCTCTGTGAGCATTCTGAGTGGAATCAACGCTCATTATAAATAAAAGCTTTCTAATATCTTCCATATGGAGACTTGGCAATATCCATGAACAACCGTCAGAGAGTCTTGCACTCTGTTACATATATTACAGCTGGATAGTCTCTTTGTCAATAATTCTTGACATTCGTATTTGGGCTCATCCTGACAACTTAAGCTTTGGGGACTAATAGTGATCTAACATTGCATGTGTGCTTTGGCTTGGGAGCAGAATTGGAGGCTTTAGCTAGTGGCTATGGCCTTTTCTTCAGTTGCCGGAAGTGAGAAGGTTGTTAGCAGGGAAGGCATGTTCATTTGTTGTTGGCAAGAGATTGGACAGAAGTGAATTAGAAAGAGAATAACAAGCAAGAACACAATTAAGTTGACATTAGTGTGGCAGCCAAAATGGCATAGAAAGTATTAATTGGAAATTAATTTTTAAAGATATTTTTAGATTTTAGAAAATGGTGCTATGTTGGCCAAAAACTCATTATTAATAATCACAATACCATATGCATAAGAAGATATCACAGAAAGTTGTATCCCGAAAGAAATAAAAAGGACAAAATAGCTTCTAATAGATGAGCAATCTGCTCAGTTATGTCTATGTAATGTATGCATCAGCCTGCTTGCAAACAGTAATGACAATACATACAAAAATGACATCTAGGGTTCTGAACCACAGAAAGAAACAACAACAACTAAGTTTCTGAAAAAAAACTCAATCAATATTCATTCATCAAGTGGTGAGTGTCTTCATTACACAATCCCTATATGTGTGTGTGTGTGTGTCTTCCATAGCCAATAAGGAAATTTTTTAGAAAATGAAAAACAGATAAAAATGGAAACGAATCCAAAAAAACTAGATCTCTAAAATTACTAGGCTTCCAATTGATGCCTTGTAATATATCTTTGTCCCTCCCCTTCCTTGATCCCCATCATTATCATTGAGTGATCTAAAACTCACACTCAAAAAAAAAAAAAATTCTGAAGTTTAAAATAATAATCTGGTTGTAACAGAAAGTGTTATTCTACAGCAACCCAGCATTTCTTACTATGAAATATTTTTAGTTCAAACCCTTCGTAATACTTACTAGTCATGTTAAACTTGAAAGACTAAAAACACAATAATCATCCATTCAAATAAAATACAAACGGTGAAAGCACATAGAAAAAAACAAAGACTGAAACCTCAGTTTAGCTAGTCGTCCAACTCAACCTAACTATTTGTCTTGCTTAGCCTTTGCTTCTGTGCCCACGCATCACCATGCTAGTGTTGGGCTTGTAATACATGTGCTCTAACATGCATTAATACTTCAGGAATATATCTGCTTATAATATTATTGACTTAATTATTTCTCCTTTTTGTGCTGAACTAAATTCACCCTGCCCGGTGTACTGCCTCCAAAATGTGTTTGTGCTGGTTTCAGGAAAAAAAAGTTACCCTTTTCAAGGTGGATCCAGGGTATTGTAACCAAAGGCCAATGAGGCATTTTATTTATTAGAAAACAACTGAATACTAACAACTTAGAGCCACAGAACTTTATCCTCTTACATATAAGTACTATCAGCACCAGAAGACCCAACAACAACAATATTAACAGCGAAAATTAAGTTCTTAAGCTGGGGGTTGGGTTATGAATGACCACTGAAATTCATAATATATCCACAACAGATAAATCATTTCATGGTATTGACGGGTGGCTCTCTCTACGACACCATTTTTACTATTCAGCTATCAACTTTCGAACAAACATCAATTATCGGATATCAATTATTGAATAAGGCTTTTGTTCGGAAGTTGATATCCAAACAGCAAAACGGTGTGTACTACGGCAAAGTGCGGTATGCTACTAGAATTTCTTTTTTCGCTTCACCGGCGGGCGGCAACCTCACCTTAGCCGTCCGCCGGACCTCAACCTATTCTGCTTGTTTTTCTACACATACCTTCTTCCATAATTCAGCTCTTCTCTGCCTTTACAATGGCTGCCAACGAAGACCATCAACCAGACCCATCCTCCTAGGCCGCCCGCCGGAGTATCTCCGGTTGAATCCCTCTCGGACATAAACCTGAGTCCCTTCTTCAGAAATTCAATTTCATTTTTCAGCATGTTGATCTCCTCTTTTGAGTCCATAACTTGCTTTCCTTCATCGTGGTCGGCCTGAGTGTCTCCGGTTGATTTCATGTACCTTCCTCAGAGTGCCGGCCCTTTCTTTGCAGGTGATTTCACTGTCTTCGGCTTCACGCTCTTAGCCGGGGCTTTCTTCGGCATCGGCTTAAGAGCCGCAGCTCTCTTTCCAGGAGATGTCCTAGTCGACGTCCTCGAAGCTTTGGTCGGCTTCTCCTTGGGCTTAGGCTTGGGTTTCGCCGCAGCTTTTGGTTTCGCGACTACCTTTGCCTTGGCAGGAGCAGTCTTCGGCTTCGCAGGAGACGGCTTCTTCTTCGCTGGAGCACTAGCAACAGGCTTCGGCACAGAAGGCCGAGTTGCAGGAAGCTTGAACGAGCCTTTCACCTTCACAAGTTCACCAGATGCAACTATCTTCTTCACATGGAACAACATCAATTTTAACATCGGCAGACCTATGCACCGTCCCACATGCACTTTATGATGCAACTATTTTTTTAATCCACCCATTCAAAGCCTTCTGAGCATAGCATTCTAGCAACCAAGAATGGTTGAAAGAAACATCACGCTCCACGCACCACCCTTTTTTTTTTTACTTTTCTTCTTTTATTTCTTTATTTTTTCTTTACATCACTTTACTTTTCTTCTTTTATTTCTTTATTTTTCTTTACATCACTTTACACCCACTCTCTCTCCTCACTTTGCATCCACCGCCCACACTTTTTTTTTTTTTTTATAAAGCTTATTGGTGCACTCCTTGTTCCCCACTTTCGTTATTTTATATATAACAAATTGCACGAGCAGGAAAGCTCAAGACGTCCTTGAGCACCATCATCAAGCATAAATTTTAGAAACAATGAATCAAATGTGAACTTAGAAACAATACACAAAATTAAGAATCGATTTTCAGCATACCTGATTCTCAACAAGGAAACATTACTGATATAATTTAGAAATTCAATGTTATTTAGCAAGATGATAGTAGTATTTACAGAAAACAAAAGAACATTAAGGTTCAAAAACATCTAAGAAAAATTGCATTAAATGAAGAAAGCATTTACCAGTCAGTACTGTTGGGAGTTAAGAACACAATAATACCACTTTGGGTTTATTCTAAAGAAATAGATAATTAAAAGAAGATATGGAGTCTAGAACCTTCATGCACAATACTAATAAAGTTTCACTTATACAAAGACATGGCTCAAGCAGCACGTAATATGTTGGCAGACACGAAAGAATAGTTCCACGGAGGGCAACTTCCTCTTCCTGGCAAATATTGCCACCTCCAACCTGCCAAACAGCTTTCAAATCTCTCTCACAGGCACAGGCACAGGCACGGAAACGACACGACATGGAGACATGATACGACACAGATACACAAATTTTCAAAAAATGTAGGATGCATGGGGGAGACGTGCAAAACATATGATTTTATATGTTTATTTGTTACATTGTCTTCCTAAATGTGCTTACCGTATTGGGCTTGAATTGCTTTTATTGAGTTTGATCTTTGATTGAGAGATGGTTCTGATTTCTGAACACGAAGGTAGCAGTTTTCAGGTTGAATAAGTCATAAAAAAAGCAAATAGATCTCACAGGTTCCATTGAAAAAAATCATGATTGTCAGTGAAAACACGTAATATGTTGGTAGACTAGAAATAATAGTCCCAAGGAGGGCATCTTCCCCTTCCCGACAAATATTGCCACCTCTAACCTGACAAACTGTTTTCAAATCTCTCACGGACACAGACACGTGACACGACACGACACGACACAAACACACATTTTCAAAAAATGTAGGATGCATGGAAGATACGTGCAAAGCATATAATTTTATATATTTATTATATGTCATAAAATATTTATTCTTATCAAAATCACCAATCATATAGATGACCACAGAAAACTAACAATGTCATAGAAAACTAAGGAGCTGTGAGTAACTTGGGACGCACAGGGGACTCTATACCACAACATATAGATCACCTCATAGAAAACTAACAAGGTCAATTCCGTTAATGTGATTGACATACCATGCCACTACGGAACTGAACTCTAGCTTTACCTATTAACATTTGTATATTGTGGTATAGAATTTCGGACCATCATAAAATGAGTACAAAAAAAATGTGTACTGTGAAATGTTGAGATGGGTGAGTAGTCAGAAGAAATCTAAGTGAGCCAATACAATTTTAAATTATTGTATCAGTTCCCCACAGCTCATAGACAAACTCAATGGGAGAACCAACTTTTTTCTTTTATGGAGTCAAAGACAGTCGACTTATGACCATGCATAGTTCTTACAGAGAGCATCATCTAAGCATTCAAGTAGATGCTTATGACCATGCATGCATGGATTCATGTACATAAGCAATACAAAATGATGTTTTCAAGCATCATTTAAGTATTCTTGTCGATGCTTATGACCATGCATGCATGGATTCATGTACACAAGCAATACAAAATGATGCTTTCAAACAATACAACAGTAGTACAGCTGTTAACAACTGGCAAATATACATATCCCTATAACAGAGTTCACCATTATCAACACAACGAATTTTAGTGCATTTAAGAAAATTTTGGAATATATGCAAAAAGCCCATTTTGTATTCGAAAAAGAATGACCAAATAAGTATACTATTCAAACTAAAAGATTTGCCCATTAAAGCATTAAAGTAATAAAACCTTTCCATCTTGGTAGATATATGCAGTTGCTTCAATGTAAGAGACAGCTTGATACCTGAAAATGGAGAAAGATTAAGCATAGCATGCCAAGCATTAAAATTAAATCTGCAGGCAATCAACATAGAAAGAAAGGAAGGAAATGAAAGGAGAAACAAAAGGCTTTCTGAAACTGTCAATAAATTCTGCATGTAGTACAAATAGTCCCCATTTAGCAGTGGAAACTTTTTTTGAAGAGCTTTTCATTTAAAATTTCTGTAGAGAAGGGGTGGGTTATAAAGAGGCTTGGTATATACTATTTGATTGAAAACACCTATGAAAAATTTTCTAATGCTTTTCTTGTTATAGGTAAATAAATCCATTAAAGGTGGCAAAAAAGGGGCATAGCCTCTGCACACTGGGATTATGAAAAAGTACAAAAAGATGAAATCAACAAAAGCAAAAGATGAGTCACAAAACTTCCTTTTTATCCAAAAATAAAAACAGTGTAGAGGGTCAATTTTGAGTCTATGTATTGCCAACTCTACATTCCAAAGGTATTGATTCCATACTTCTGCTCCCTCTAAATGCACAACATCAAGCAGAAAGGCACTACTACCATAGATGCTTTTATAACTTTTGTTTAGCAACAGCCTCCTACCCAACTCATAGAAATGAATTAACAAGGCTAGCATAACCTAACCAACTCCAAAAAATAGTCTGAAGCCATGTTGCAATGCAACAAAAGTTGATTAGTCTGAAATTAAAACATCCAGGAATGCATTACAATTCAAACACCACTGCAACAAATAAAATAGTTCTTCTAAGACCAAACTGCTTTAAGATTCCGGTCATCTCCATGTGCAAAAAAGGCTTATGTTCTCCCGCATAAATGAACAATAAAATTGCAGCCTCAAGTACATCTCCTCAATATCACCTTTACAAATGCATCTCTATTTATAGGTGTACATGTAATGTGGTGATGAAGATTATAAGGTGGGAAGAACAAGCATACGATGGGGAAAAGCATCCATTAGTTTCAGAGATTTCAAAGGTATAGATTTAATTACTTAAATATGTTGCCAACACTAGACCATTTGATTATGTTTTTCAAGATTTGTTTCCACAATCATTTTGAATAGTAAGTATTTGTTTTTACTTATCAAAAAAAAGAATAGTAAGTATTTGTTTTCTTGACCGTCTTCTTCTTCTTTCTTTTTTTTTTTCTTTTTTCTTTTTTTGCATCTACTTTTTATTTGAATTAATTTATACAGAAGAAAATACTCCAAGAGTTCCATGTGCCGTTGTTTAGGTGGTACTCCAAACAAATGAGAAACTACAACACACACTAAATGGGTCATCCTTTGTCTCCTAACTTCCAAACAACTGTGAGTCAATATATCTCACCTGTAAAATGTTCCACTACGTTATTCGATTGATGCACCACGTAGGTAATGTTAGTGCTTCAGAACTACGAAATAATTACCCTTAACATGGATTACATATGTACAATTTCAATTCAATCTATTCTGTATAATAAAAAAACACATGCACAAATTTTTTTCTGCGATGCCTTCTTTTGTTATTTCACTTTTGTCCTTTTACCCTTTCCATATTTCTCTATTATACACATGATGTCAAGGTTTTCAAATGAAACATCAATTAATTACCTAAATATCCACCGTCAAATGAACCAATCAACTTCCTATTTGCTCAAAACTTTTTCCTTTATGCTTATTGCACAATAGTTCGTTTTAACATCTTTATCCAACAGCAAAAGGAATCGATCTAAAAGGAAATCCATCTAAAGAGGAGCCGACATCCTTTACCGCCTTTAGAGATGAAAGACAATATTTAACCAGAAATCTATTGGTTTTCGAGACGGAAATAGAAATGCATTGTGTCACTGTCCTTTACAACCATTAGAGTTTTGAGATGGAAATTGAAATGCTTTGCGATTGTAGCCAAAATGTTTTGTAGGGCCAAGGATCTCTATTGGCTTACAAAAAAGTAGCAAGAATTTTTGTGACGATAACTAGACTATGAGAGGGAGCGGCTTTGGAGAAGGGTGGTGGTTGCTAAGTTTGGTGTGGGAAGGGGGGGGAGTGGTGTTCGGGAAGGGTGGGTCATTCTCATGGTTGCGGTATGTGGAAAGGGATTTGGTTAGGTCAGAAGGCATTTTGGAGGAGGGTGAGGTTGAAAGTTGGTGTGCTACTCCACTAAACCTATCACCTACTTCACCCACTTAAACCTACTCCACTAAACCTAACCCACTACACCACTACCACCTCCACTTCACCTACTCCTTACCTACTACACACTCACCCTCTTCTATATATAGGAATCATGAATCATTGTGATATATATCAATATAAATCAATCAATAATACATAAATTTTTACAAATTCCCTTTGATCTTCGCTATTGCTGCTGATTGTGAGGCGTTGGTGGGTGCTATAAGGGTTGGGGAGGGGCAATTGATGATGTGGAATGTGTAGTTGCGTTGCAATGCCCAGGATTGGGAACAAGATCAGTTGGTGGAACTTCTGGGTTTTTTAATATGGTTTGCATCTTGGGAGGATAGGTCAAGATTCCTTGATTTGGGATTGTTCTACATCCAACGGTATTTTTACTGTGTCTTCATTCTAAGGGACGCTTGTTCAGGATATGTATGCACATGATGTCGCTATGGTTTATCTGTGGAAAGGTGTTTGGGTGCCGAGCTCACCATCCAAAGTTGCCTTTTTTGTTTGGACAGCGAGTTTGGGCGGTATCTTGACTATTGATAATTTGATTCGTCATGGGCATATTTTTGTGAATTGGTGTTGTCTGTGCGGTAGGGCATCGGAATTAGTTGACCATTTGCTTATTCATTGTCCGGTCTCTTCTCGTCTTTGGATGCTTGTGGTTACAGTTTTTGGTTTAGTTTGGGTTCAACCGGGTTTTGTGTTTGCCGTTGTGCAAAGTTGGGTAGGGGGAGGGTTGGGAGGAGGCGTCAAAAGGTTTGGCTTCTTGCTTCGCACTGTTTGATGTGGTTGATTTGGTTGGAGCGTAATAGGCGGGTGTTTCAAGGGGTGGCTCACTCCATTCCTTGGTTAGAAAGACGGCTTCTTATAGTTTTGTATAACTGGGTGACAGGTTTAGTAGATCCAGATGTGTTGGCTTTTGTAGATTTTGTGGAAGATTTGATTTGTTAATTTGGTCGGGCTTCTGAAGCCACTTTTGTATTCTTTTGCATCATCTTGATGCTGTCTCAATAAAGTTTGGTTATTTATCAAAAAAACAAAAAAGATTCATGGTGTCACAATGGAAGAACTTAAATTGAAAAATTAACATAATGTGCAATTGGTTTGTGTTAAAATTCACCTACTACACACCTACCACTACCACCTACTACACACTCACCTACTTCACCTACTCTCCACCTACTCCTCACCTACTCCATACCTATTACACACTCACCTATTCTCTTCCCACATCCTCTCTTCTATATATAGGAATCATTGTAATATATCAAAACAATCAATAAATAATACATAAATTCTAACAGTTTGATCTCTTTATTTCCATTGATTCAATTTTCAATGTATAAGCTTCTCATTTATTTATTGCTTTTTTAAGTGCTAGCCTTCTCATTTATGGAAGAATCATTCAATGCACTAAACAAGGCATTCCCACCTATAAGGATGTAAGTGTATCTTCTTAACAGTCCTCATATGATTTTTCTTCTAGATAACATCATCTCAAGGCATTCCCTTTCGTCTCTGTACTATTCCATTTTAAATTACAATGGAGAGGCAAGTCACTTCCCTATTATTATTTCATGTCATAGCCTTGCTCAATACTCACTCTCATGTGCTTTTTCTTCTAAATAACACCATCTCAAGACCTTCCCTTTTGTCTCTGTACCATTCCATTTTAAATTGCAATGGAGAAACATTAATCAAGGCCTTGCTCAATGCTCAATTTCTCCAAAGTTTCACAGCATTCTCAGAAGTTAATACAATCATAACCACAGATGTTTTCCTGAATGAGCAAAGATGTTTTGCTGACCAGCCATACAGAAATTTCTGAGTGTTTATAATCTTAATGTACAGCTATGAGAATTTAGATACACCATTTTCAAGCATTATCGAGCCCAATGAACACATACAAACCACAATTCCTTTCTGTTCTACATCTTTCTTGAGCACTCAAAACATTCAAAACTCTACTTCGCAGATTACTTGTATTCCCAATCTCATCAAGATTGCCAAGCAATCAAGCACCAATTCTCATAAACCAAAGAGCTCTAAAGCATTCCATTAAATAATTACCAAAAGCATCAGTTCACCTTGTTAATTTTATCATCATTCACCAGAATTCACAATCATTACTCTCCATGTAACTGACATAATCAGATCTGTATCTTCCATTTTTTCAAAACTAGGAAATGTGAATACTGTTTACCATCATCCTTCATATTTAGCTCATCATGAAGTTTACCATGTGCAACAAATTAGCCACATTTACGTAATTAAAGGCTCTCTTAAATTGCGTGCATGGTCAACTATGCTGCACAAAATGAGGCAGAGCAAGTAATTTTCTTAACAAACAAGGCTTCATACACTCGCACTTGTGCAAACAAAGGTGCACTCTTTTCGAAGAATCCAAATGAAGGTCTAACAGGCATCTATCAAGTGTCAAACTATCAATACTAAGAACCATCCTACATATTGTAACTTCTTTGCTACTATTTCAAACCTACAAAGTAAAAGAATATTGCCGCAAGGAAACAACGATATGCGGCTCACATGTCTTTCTTTTGTTCTGGAAATCAGGATAGCCAAATTGGCTCAGTAAACTGTCTGTCATCTTTCCAAAATTTCCAGTGCATCACAAGAGAAACGTGTCTAAACCATTGTATGAAGAGAACACACCATAACAAATTCCTACCTCGATAGAAAGTATATTATGAATACCAGACAACACCCCCCCCAAAAAAAAGCACTAATAAATAAAAAACAATGAAATCAGCTAATGTATGACTATGTGGCTTACCCAAGGTTAATAAGGCCAGCAACTGTACCGATGCTGATGTCAAAATCCACTTTCGGTTGAATAATAAAATTCCCTTCTCTTATGGGCTGACAAAAGCATTTCATAATCCAAAAAGGATCAAACATTCACTATGATCCAAAATGTATTAAGGAAAATTAACATTACACAAATTAAAATTTTCAAGCAAATTAGACCACAAACCTCCCGTATCAGCAATGCAAATCTTCCCTCACATATTCTAACTCTTATGCAGTCACTCTCTTCTAACTGGCCATTAGCAGGTATTCCAGGAAGCCTAAAGTACATGTCAATAAAATTCTGAACAGAACTACATAGCTTTGTACGGTCAAGGATTCTTAATATGTTTTGATAAGTCACCTGGTATTGACAGAATCAGAACGGTGTGTCAAGGAAAAACCAATTTACATGAGTTCTATAAAATGGACTTACTTGCTTGTAACTTTTCAATACAAACAATGAGCTCTCAGGAGAAAGCACAGGATCAAAGTCATTACGGATTTTGAGCTGCAACAACATAAAAGACAATTGTAGCATCACTTCTATCTCACAATTTATAACCAATATTAACAAATAAAGGCAACAGGGCAATAATGTTACTGCTAAAGAATAATTCTAATAATTAGCAAAAGATAAGGCAATGCATGCATATAAGAAATTATCCACCATAACCTGCAGTGAGTAATTCTAAAGGTTTGATATTTGTAGTCACTACATCAATATTATCCTGGTTTAAATCTCACAAATATCATATATCAAAATTTTTGGACAAAATTATGATACTTCTGAATCAATGATAAAAAAAAATTAAACTGGATTTGATAAAAAAAAAAGTTCAAAATAGTCAAATATAAAAAAACCATGGCAACCTTTAAAATATTTCAGAGTGAAAAATGATTTTTCTTTCTTTGACAAAAAAACATGAAACAATAAATTATGCAACAATAATAAGCCTCAAATGGTTTCGAATCTACTAACATGTGCATGAACAAGAAGTGGTTCAATGTGCAGCTGGAACATTGGAAACACTGTCGTCATAATGTCATTTTGGGACATAAAGCACCCAACTCTACTTTTGTCCCTTTGAACTCGAGAAATAAGATGTGAATGAACACCTCCAACTTGTTTTCAAACAACCGGTTATCTCATAACAAGTATTTCTACTTATCCAAAAGAAATTGATACAGATAACGAGAAACAAGAAGGTTAATCAACAAAAAAATAAAATATAAAGCCACAGAAATGAAGTGGCATTCATCCTTACAACAGCAATCCACAAGTCTAGTGATTTTCTGATATCAGGGTGCAAAGCATAAACCCCTTCAAAAATGACCTAGTCAAAATAAACAGAGAATATTTTCAGGAATCAAATCATCAGATACTTGAACACATATCAGATACTGTTTTATGATAAAACTGTGAATACAAGACAAACAATTATCCTCTCACTCCACAGCGTCAGACTCCAACAATTCTTTAACTTAAGATCACAAGATGATTAAGCAGCATATTAAACTCAGCTCTCAATAAGGTGAACCACTCAAAATATCAGTATTAAACAAAGTCAACATAAAAGAAGAAGGTGCCCTGAGTCCCTCACGCCTTCAAGCGCATGGAATAAGTTGCCTCGAGGCTGCTACCGAACTATTTTATTTAATCCCTTCTTGCTGACATTTGCATTTATGTTAAGTGATGAGGAGGAAGGTACTGCAATTTTATAATGTACCACTCCACAATCTTCAGAAACTTCAAGTTCCTTGAAGCCACTCCTTGTGCCAGTCTCCAAATCAAATATAGGCACTTTTGTTCTTCGCGAGTACCTTATGCCATCAATATTCTGCAAGCATGTCACAGAAAAAAGACCATTAGCAGAACAAAGTGTCAAAACCTGCAGTCAAAATACGTGGTATACATTTTCTGGTATTTCATTGTGTAATTTCAAACCATATTCAGATCATTGCCCACTTCAATGTTCGAAAGTTCAAGAAAATGTATCCTTGTGATTGCCAACATTGTCACAACGTGGCGATATGATTAAGACTTGTGAAAATAAATTCTAAATTTGGGAGAAGAAAATTGAACAAAAAGGCAGCACTGTATCTAGTTACCAAATTGAAAATAATTGCACATCCATCAATTACTTTTCTGGTTTCCACACAATTATCTGACCTCAAATATAAACCATATCTTAATCAATATCTGCATCCCTAATATAGAACCTAGAAATGACATAAAGTGTCATTCACAACTATATAAAATTAGTCCTACAAACTGTTGGATAGCTTGCTATACATTGTCGGACCAATTTCATAACAACTTAAGCTTCAGGGAACATTGGTAATCTAGCTGTTAAATCACAAAAGCTTAGGCTATTGGGAAATGGGCCCGACGATGTATTTCTTTCCAACACTAGCATGGTATCAAAACTCAAGTAGGGGGAAGGTTTTGGGTTCAAGTCTGTCTGCATTTGTTTCCCATTTGCATTATACTTCTCTCTATATATGGTTGTTTGTATCTCCATGTGCAAGACGGGGATGCACATGAGGAAGAGTGTTGGATAGCTTGATGTACATTGTTGGGCCCCATTTTCTAACAGATTAAGGTTTTGGGGAAATTGATGATCTCACAGAAACAACACTGATTTAAGAGAATGAACCATGAAGGGTAGTAAAGGCAATAATCAACAAATAAAGAGAAGACTGTCAGCCCCTAAATCAAGGGCCTATGCATTAAACACAAATTAAAGAGGAAAGAAATAAAGAGATGTATGTAAAAATAAAATTAGAGGGAATATGGAACTATATCAAGAAAAAAGACCAACCACAATAGGAAGGAGTATACATCAAGGAAAGAATTGGAAGAATTTGGAAATAAAAGAAGTGATATGAATATTTCTAATAATATTGATTTTCTTTTATTATTAATTTTTGTATCTAAAGTTGTTCTCAGTCTGAATTGTGTCAAATGCTTCCATATATTTTTGTATATTTCCATCCATAAAACCATCCTTGGTTGAAGAAAAGAAACACTAATGTGGTACAACTTTTTTCACAAATTAGGTACAAAAGTAAAGTACAAAAGACCCATTTCCCTCACATATCAATAGATTAATAAATTACTCAACTCATTATTTATAAATAGAGAATTGGAATTTTGGAGTAATTAATTCTTATTCTAAAAGCTGCTAGAAATGAATATCTCTAACAAAGAATGATATTCAAGTAGGCAAAAAATATTATGTTTATTGACCATTAAGTGGAGGGCTTTACCAATAGAAAAGTAGGCTGAACAATCCATAATAGTTTTAAATGAATAAACCTGTTGTTTCATCAAATTTCTAAAAGAATTAGTGGTCTACAAACTTGCATATCCACTTAAATGTAGCCATTTTATTATTGAAGTAGGCAAACAATCTTATGTTTATTGGCCATTAAGTGGAGGGTTTAACTATAGAAAAGTAAGTTGAACAATCCACAATAGTTTTAAATGAATAAACCTATTGTTTCATCAAATTTCTGCAAGAATTACTGGTTTACCAACTTGCATATCGACTTAAATGTGGCCATTTTATTAAACCAGAATTTATAACCATGCCGAGAAAACTAAACAATACATATGATATGAAACAGAAACATAATGTCTTACTTTTGAAAGCAACGCTAGATCAAGAGAGCTAAATTCATCATACTTGAAGTCCTTTACTTGATCAGATTTGTAATAGCTTTCAAGGGAAACAACTTCACAGCCAACAATATTTGCCATTTTGCGAGCCAAACTAGTTTTTCCAGACCCACTTGGACCGCCTAAAACAACAAAAGAGACATATGAAACTTTAAAAGTTCAAACAATTGAACCACTATATAAGGGCGTACCAAGAGAAGAAATAATTTTAATTCTTTATTCTTTAGCTTTTATTCTTCACAAGGAAAATTAAAAGTTCCATAATTTAAAATCAATTCTAAATTTGGTAATCTATATTTCTTATAGCCTTAATTTTAATGGTAAGAAGTTGCTTTCAATAAACAAGATGGAAAAACATTGACTCAACTCCATAAAGCACAATCTTTTCAAGTTGGCTACATGAGTTTTGGCACAACAATAAGTTTGCTAGAACTTCATTTATCCAACATGTTAAGGTTTTAAGTAAAAGTGGCAACCGCCATAACGGTAATGGTGGCGGCAACTGGAGCAGTGAGTGTTTACCTCTTTGCACAACTTTAGGAAAACTTAGCAATGCACATGTTTTTATTTCATAATCACATTTAGTAGGGTTCAAAATGCTTTGTGGTGGGTTTTGTTTAGGTTTCAAATATGATCCATTATGAGGTTAGATTGTGCACTTAACCATGTCTTCAAACTATTTGAATAGCATAAGAGTAGTAATGCTGCCAAAAAGCTTTGTTTCAGAAAGGGCATTGTAGAAGACAATCACAATGAATGTTTGGGGTTTGCTTTTTTGGTGGGTTTTTTTTGTTTGTTTGTTTTTAGTCTTTATTGAACTTTTTTTTTTTTAATTTTTAAAAAGCTTTAGGCTTTTGGGTTCTCCACTTGACTAGACGGACCAGAAAAGTAGTAAATAAAAAATTTGAAAATAAGTCCAGAAATTACCCCCAAAAAAAGTCAAAAACAGTTGGCTTTTTTGGCTTATTTTTGGCAATCACATTCAGACCAGTTTTCTTGAGAGAGAGAGAGATCTTACCAATTCCAACTATAACTGGAAGACCTTTATTCTCCAACAGAGCCTGAAATAAAAGACAGTCATGAAGTTTGGATCTGACTAAAAGACAAAAGACAAAAGACTCCCATAGACTTGAAGCTCCAAAGTCTAAAAGTTTTCCTCCCTACTTATCTAATAACCCTTACCTGTATTGCTTGAACAGCAAGAAGCAATCCCCTATCCAAGTCATATGAATCAGGCATTGGAGCAAGCTGCAGGGCATCCCTGAAAGAAGAAGGATCTGTAGCTGTTTCATGAAAGGAGTTGAGATAAATGAAGAACAGATAACACACCCAAGGTAAAGTTCACTTAACAATAATGCTGGCATGAGAAATTTTACTTTCTACTGGTTGAGAAAAAATACCAGTGACAGAGCCACCAGCAAGTGGAGGATCTGGTGAGACGAAATGCCAAGTTGCTAGTACAGGTTCCATTTGGGATTTTGTTGGGGATCGAGTCCATGGCTGAGATAAATCTTCAAACACAAGGTTCGAAGCAATTCGAAGAGGCTTTGGTGCAGCAATCAACCTTTCTTGAACAATAGTGGCAGATGTATCAGACAAAAGTGGTGGTGTATTAAGGCGTGGTACACCTGCAAGTGAGATGGGGATTAATTGAAAAGAGAATAACTGATATGAAAGATGAAAAAACCAAACAATTGTATGTAATACAGATGGGGTAAAAACAATAATGAAATTATGCCGTTTCCCAACCTCTTCTTTCAAGAATCATTTCAAGGTATGATTTAGTGATCCATGGCCCATTTACACCAATCCTCAATGCTTCTGCTCCAACCGTCTACATGAAAGAAACATAATCAAGATATAGCACAAGTTAAGACACAAGATTCTTTTTTGATACAAGAAAACATCACTAATTCAAACTTCATCAACTAAAGTTTGTACCATGCAAAGCATGAACAGAAAAAAGACCTATAACAAAATAATAGTGAAAAGAAGTATAAAATTAACTGCAACAACAGTAGAAAGTATGATGAGAGGAAGATTTATTGTCTGGGAAAGATGCTAGCCAAATTATAATGCACATCATTTAACAAATGAATAAAACTATGCAAACAGAATATGAATTCAGTACAGCTTAATCATTTAAATTAGGAAACTAAGCAATAAGAAAACAGACAATGTGGAACTTCGGTATGTGAACTCAGGAAGTCCCCATCTTGCAACAGTATTTATAAAATTAACAGCAGAAATTGTAGCCTTGTTTGCCATACGGAATCGAGATCTTTTGACAAAATATTGTACTAAGAAAGGTATTGAGCAGCAAGAGGTTAGAAGCTATGTGAACATACACATTGAAAATGTATTTTGGTTGTTGTCATGGTAGGAATAGTTAAATGACCACTGACAAATCAATTAAGAGTAGTAAGAGAAAAAAGCAGCTACAATAGTTTGGCCTTGTAAAATCAACCAATAACCATGCAACTATGAAGAATTTGATGTGGTCCAAGTGTTACATGGTCTTGGGTGGAATTCAACCCCAAAAACTAGTTGTTGAGATAAGAGTGCCCTCACGCTTATATATTGCACATTACTTTTGTAACCAGGCAATGTAGAACTTTCTTCACACCCTCCCACAAGTACAACATGCTCACTCGGCAACACTTCCCGCCTGTGGGCTTGGGACATGCACCCTACCCATCCCTAGGTAATTTGGCTCTGATACCATTTCACACGATGTTAGGTAGAACTCAACTTAAAAGTCTAGCTATTAAGGTGAAGGTTCCCTCAAGCTAATATACTTCGCATTACTTTTGTACTCAAACAATGTGAGACTTCGCTTCACACCCTCCCTCATGTAAAGCATGTTTACTCGGCAACACCTGTTGTGTGCACGCTAAGACACGCACCCTACCCACCCTAGATACTTCGGCTCTAATACCGTGTTACACGGTCTTGAGTAAAACTCAACCTCAAAAGCTAGCTGTTGAGGTAAGGATTCCTTCACGCTTAGCACCAAGATACTATGAGGGCATGCAGAAGTCCTAGAAGGATGTTGGATGACATAGAAATGACAAAAATAGGATTCAGGTTGCCAACTAGCAAAGAGCTTTGTTGAGTTAAGTAATGATGCTGAAAAAAAGCACATACCCTCATGTTTCTAGCTTCCCAGTTTTCAAGACAACTCTTTAAACAAATTTTTTTTTTACACATGTTAATATATAAATATAATGCTCCTTATATATGCCGATGGGGAACAAGAAGGAATTTGAATGAAAAATAAAAAAACAAGGTTTAACATTGGTAACAAATTAAACCCAAAGTTTTAAATCGTATTAATTTAAAACTTAATATTTGGGGTTTAATTTAAGGTTTAAATTGAGATTGGGACCAAATCAAAATATTGAGGTTTATAACCCTTTACCTTCTACCGCATCACCAAAAAGATGTGTTAAAATACAAAAAGCGCTACATGCATCACCACAAGTACCGAGCAAAACATATTCATGAGAACAATACAACCCTTTACCTTCTACCGCATCAATAAGACAGCAACAATCCTTTAGAAGTGTTAAAGAACAATATTTAATACTGAATTCTAAATAAAATTTCTAGCAAAATAAATAGTTCATACTTTCCTATTTGTGCCCCTCAACACCAAGTATGTCTCACCCAGAGAATCAATGGTTTCCAGGGATATTGAAACATTGCCATTGCTAACTGAGGTAGATGCCCGTTTATAACTGACTACAACAGTGTACCCCAAAGCCAGCAATCCACCGAGGGTCATCCGTCCGACCTGTTCCAGTTGTAAAAGAAGAAGCATGAGAAGAACCATCCAAAGTCAATGAGCAGAAGAAATTTATGCAATAAAATAATGATATAAAAACAATGTTATAAAAATTTTCCATTAGAAAAAAATGCGTCTAAATAGTGGTAGCTTTTACATCTATGCTGATGATGATCATAAAAATCCCCAATCTCATTGGAGGATGAAATATTGAGGATAACGAGCCTCACCCTCTTGTAATAATCCCACATCACCAACCATAAAAATATTAAACTATCATAATATAATCTCTCTTGACATTCAAAAAAATGGACCTAAAAACCCTATAACAAAAAGAAAGAACTAAGTGGAATCATTTTTTTTTAAAACCTAGGGCAAAATCCTGTTTACCCCTTTTGTTGTTTTCGCCCAGAGCAATTTACCTCCCCGACATATGCAAAATACCCTAGTGTTATTTTGGACTAAAATGCAACCACTAACTCTACTAAAAAGTGGTGTTGAAAAGGCAATAATACCCCTCTCCAAATATTTAAGTGCAGCAATCAATAGTAACACTGTTTCCAAAAGATCAATCCCATCCTAACTGTTAAAATTCATTTACTCTCCACCTACTTCACCCACTTAAACCTACTCCACTAAACCTAACCCACTACACCACTAGCACCTCACCTACTCCACTAAACCTAACCCACTACACCACTACCACCTCCACTTCACCTACTCCTTACCTACTACACACTCACCCTCTTCTATATATAGGAATCATGAATCATTGTAATAGATATCAATATATATCAATCAATAATACATCAATTTTAACATGGTATCAGAGCAAGGTTAAGCACTTAGTATTTTTCGCTTCACCGGCGGGTGGCAACCTCACCTTGGCCGCCCGCCGGACCTCAACCTAATCCGCTAGAATTTTCCACACATACCTTGAAATTTATTCGAGTCCACCACCACTGCCCCTCCTCTCACTGTTGTCCTCCCATACACCACCGTCTCGGTCGTCTTCATCACCACCACAGATCTTCCCAATTTTACAGCCCAGGTGCTTCAGGTTTAGGGTTTGGGTATGAATAGTGGTTTTTGGCCAATCAACTGGCCCCATCCCGAATTTCTCTGTTGCTGCATAAGTGGAACTGGCTGTTGCCCCTGCTGCCCTGGAACACCTCCTGCACGTCTGCCACCAGGACGCTGACCTGTCTTGGGTGAACGATTGCCGATGCTGGGTGAAAATCTGTATCCACTTGTGGAACAGCTGGAGCCTGAGATGGCAGCGAAGGTTACTGGCATGCTTCTGGAGATGGAAGGGTATGGGTTTGTGCAATATGATAGTGAGGAAGCTGCCCAAAAAAGCTATTGAGAAGCTTAATGGTATGCTGCTGAATGATAAGCAAGTATATGTGGGACCCTTCCTTCGGAAGCAGGAAAGAGAAATGGCATTGGACAAGGTAAAATTCACCAATGTCTTTGTAAAGAATCTATCAGAATCAACAACAGAAGAAGATCTGAAGAAAATATTTGGTGATTTTGGAGCAATCACTAGTGCTGTGCTGATGAGGGATGCTGATGGAAACTCTAAGTGCTTTGGTTTTGTCAACTTTGAGAATGCAGAAGATGCTGCTCGATTTGTTGAGTCTCTTAATGGACATCCACCGGGTCACCCACTTATTTCTTTATTTTTTTCTTTTACTTCCTTTACCACCACTCACCCATGTGACCCACGATGCTCAGATTCTCCAACCTATACTTTTTCTTTTCATTACACTCTTGTTCCCCACTTTCTTTATTTTATATATATATATATATATCCCCATAAACTGTCTTCTACATCGGTCCGACATGACCCCATAAACTGTCTTCTACATCGGTCCGACATGACCCCATAAACTGTCTTCTACATCGGTCCGACATGACCCCATAAACTGTCTTCTACATCGGTCCGACATGACCCCATAAACTGTCTTCTACATCGGTCCGACATGACCCCATAAACTGTCTTCTACATCGGTCCGACATGACCCCATAAACTGTCTTCTACATCGGTCCGACATGACCCCATAAACTGTCTTCTACATCGGTCCGACATGACCCCATAAACTGTCTTCTACATCGGTCCGACATGACCCCATAAACTGTCTTCTACATCGGTCCGACATGACCCCATAAACTGTCTTCTACATCGGTCCGACATGACCCCATAAACTGTCTTCTACATCGGTCCGACATGACCCCATAAACTGTCTTCTACATCGGTCCGACATGACCCCATAAACTGTCTTCTACATCGGTCCGACATGACCCCATAAACTGTCTTCTACATCGGTCCGACATGACCCCATAAACTGTCTTCTACATCGGTCCGACATGACCCCATAAACTGTCTTCTACATCGGTCCGACATGACCCCATAAACTGTCTTCTACATCGGTCCGACATGACCCCATAAACTGTCTTCTACATCGGTCCGACATGACCCCATAAACTGTCTTCTACATCGGTCCGACATGACCCCATAAACTGTCTTCTACATCGGTCCGACATGACCCCATAAACTGTCTTCTACATCGGTCCGACATGACCCCATAAACTGTCTTCTACATCGGTCCGACATGACCCCATAAACTGTCTTCTACATCGGTCCGACATGACCCCATAAACTGTCTTCTACATCGGTCCGACATGACCCCATAAACTGTCTTCTACATCGGTCCGACATGACCCCATAAACTGTCTTCTACATCGGTCCGACATGACCCCATAAACTGTCTTCTACATCGGTCCGACATGACCCCATAAACTGTCTTCTACATCGGTCCGACATGACCCCATAAACTGTCTTCTACATCGGTCCGACATGACCCCATAAACTGTCTTCTACATCGGTCCGACATGACCCCATAAACTGTCTTCTACATCGGTCCGACATGACCCCATAAACTGTCTTCTACATCGGTCCGACATGACCCCATAAACTGTCTTCTACATCGGTCCGACATGACCCCATAAACTGTCTTCTACATCGGTCCGACATGACCCCATAAACTGTCTTCTACATCGGTCCGACATGACCCCATAAACTGTCTTCTACATCGGTCCGACATGACCCCATAAACTGTCTTCTACATCGGTCCGACATGACCCCATAAACTGTCTTCTACATCGGTCCGACATGACCCCATAAACTGTCTTCTACATCGGTCTGACACCACCATACAGTGTCCTCTACATGTTATGACACCCCTATACAGTGTCCTCTACAACGTTATGACACCACCATCCAGTGTCTTCACCAATGGTCTGACACGACCATACAGTGTCTCTTATCCTCTTTTATTTTTATGTATTTTCTTGTTTTGTTACTCTCTCCAAACTCAAGTTGGTTAGTTCCTATCCCCCTTGAGTTTGCGGGGGGCTGTTAAAATTCATTTACTCTCCACCTACTTCACCCACTTAAACCTACTCCACTAAACCTAACCCACTACACCACTAGCACCTCCACTTCACCTACTCCTTACCTACTACACACTCACCCTCTTCTATATATAGGAATCATGAATCATTGTAATAGATATCAATATATATCAATCAATAATACATCAATTTTAACACTAACTAAAATGACATACACACATATATAATATAATAGTGAGAAGAAATGTCTCACCTCAAACTCAGCTTTTGGCCGGATAATGTAATTTTTGTCAACAATCCTCTGGTCACCCAGTGATAGATAATATCTGATACCAGATTGCCGCACCTTAATCCAATCATTTATTCGGGCTTCTTCGCTAGCAGATGGAGGCCTTAAGTACATCTCAATAAAACTGAAAGCAAAATGCAGTATAATTAAGCAGCCACATCAACTATTGTTTGATATTAAGGTAAGAAAATCCAGGCAATGGAACAAAATTGCCTACAACTCACTTATCCATTATCACCTCCTTCCCATGTAAATTAAAGGCTGAATGTCCATTTGGTGACTGCTACAAAAGCATAGCATATTAACTTAAAGAAGATTGTAGTCTATTTTTGCAAAGAAATGACGAAGAAGATTAATGGCAGACACAACAGAGATAGTTTCAGACAAATCATAACAATGTCATGAGAGGAGAACAACAGACACAACAGAGATTCCAGCGTATCCTCAAAGATAAGAAAATCAAAAATCGATATATCATAACAAACCTTGCAGCCATATGTTCAACTCACGTCATGCCATTGCGTCATAATGATATAACAGGAAAGAAAACAAAACAAGAAGCTTATGCCTTATAGCTCTGCAACAGAAAATGTATTTCATCTTTTTCACCACATATGGGGAACTTTAGGCTCCAAAAGTTTTTAAAATAATAAAATAGCATAAGAGGAACAGAATAATAGCAAATGAATTTTTACCATCTTTTGCACCAAAAAATTATAATAAACAGGTGAATAAAATAAGGGGAACAAATTCAGCATGGTTGTTTCCTTTTTTGTTTGTATATGGTGATGCCCCCTTCAGGACTTTTTGTTTATAAAATATTTCTTCCAAAATTAGATTTCCTTTTCATGCCAGATTTGTTGAATTGAATGGCCTAAGAGTGAAGTTCAAGGGCTTGGCTTGAAGGCTCAAATTCCATCATACCAGCAGTTTATTCATCAAGTCTATTCTCAAGCCTATATCTTCTTCTTTTGTGTTTCTTTCAGTTTCTTTGATAGCAGAGGCTCTGAAAGAGGTGCAAGGGATGTGTGAACATAAGCGAATGCTGGCAGTCTATCAAAAATATTTCCATATACTAAACTAATCTGATTGAAATCACATTGATACTAGAGGCAAGCTTTGTCAAGTTTTTATAGACAACTGAAAGAAAAGAGGAAGAAGAAAAAGAAGTTTCAATATAATACTTCCAGACTACCCCCAGAAAAATATTCTAGTTAAAAGTAACTGCAGAAAATAGAAAAACAGGTCCAACTGATTACGTGGATGAGCAGGAATTATAATTACACAAGTACATAATACTTACGAACCTCACTTTTGCATTTGAGCTTGTAGATTGGCTCTCTAAATGATGAAACAAAGCTGTTATTAATTCTGATCTGCAGGATAAATGAATCATATCGTGAATCGGAAGACAAATTTAGAAGGGGTAATTCTATTTGCACACCATAGAAAATCTCAATACACAAACAAAGGTCAAATGTTCAGACATAAACTGAACAGGTAGAATTTCTCATTTAGAAGGCCAGGATATTGAAACACAAACCTGAGCATGATGAATGTCAGGCTCGATTTGCTTTCTAAACAATGGGAAAATACTATCGATAAGATAGTCCAATGAACAAGAATCTCCAATATCATATTGAACTTTGGAAAGAAGACTAAAATGAACACCACCAACCTGATCCACAAATTTATAATGCATAATTTCTTATAAATATATATATTTGTTTGATAACTTGGGATAGTCCTATGCAAACTGCAGTATAATGCTAAAAAGGAAATGACAAATAAAAATTTTACCACTGCCACTCGAATATCTAGCAAGGAGCGCAATCTTGCATGAAGAGCATAGGTACCATCAACTATTACCTACCAAGCATAAAACAAAGAGATCACAAGCTTTTATGGTTGATCAAGCAGAACATTATACGCATACTTACCACCCCCGATGAACTCTCTATTGCTTTAGAAGCAACATGTTTTTTTTCTTGGAAATCAAATACTGGAGTCACTATATCTTTATCACTTATCAAATCCTATATCAACACAAAAGCCAGTTTAAAATAAGTGAACATAAAAAAATTACTTATATCTAAGTAATGTAATCATTGTTCTAGCTCACATGAGCAAATCAGAAAACTCTACAAACCCAAAATGAAACCAACATTTACAAACACAACCCACCCCTACTTAAAATAAGAACACAATGACGAAAGCAAAATCATTCAATCCACAATGAGCAACTCCCAGGCCAGTACAACTGTTCATAACTACTATGAGATGTTCTTATATTTCTAAGAACTAGGCCAAGAGCTTTAGTATGATCCATCCCAACCAAGTAAATATCAGTTCAGCCCCAAGAAAAAGAAATAAGAACAAGCTACATACCTCAAGATTTTGAACTAAAGTAGCAAAATCTATTGAATGCAAATCGTTCCCGTCATCAACCCCAACTCGATAGTTCTCCATCGATACAACAATACAACCAATCACAGATGCTACCTTCTCCGCTAAGCTTCAGAAGCATGAAATTCACGTGCTTCGTTACAACAATTTGAAGAAATGACAATTACCAAATATATAGGCAACCAAAAAATAAAAAATAAAAATAAAAATCCTACCTAGATTTGTTTAAAATCATTGAATGAAATGATAAAATAAAGCTATGAAGAGAATGCATACCTTGTTTTACCCGACCCACTTGGACCACCAATGCCAACTGTTACACGACCTTCCTTTTTTTCTCTAAGTTCTTGAATAGATTTTACCAACAAGTAATACCCACGATCGAAAGACTGCAGAATTCTCAAACCGACCATGATCAGGCCACTAAAACAAAATGTTACATCGGAACTGAGAATAAAAACCCAATTACATGGCATGCACATTAATAAAGACTACATTCAGAACATAATCATCTGCAACTGAAATACAGATGAACTTGTCCAGATACGTACATATGCAATAAAACCCAAATGAATAAATTCAAATTTCCAGTGAAAATAAAAAGTGAATCAAACATCTGCAAAAACTTGAAAAACCAACACTTCATTTTTTTCTCTTAATTCTTGAATAGATTTTACCAACAAGAACTACCCATGATCGAAAGATTGCAGATTTCTTAGGCTACTAAAACAAAATGTTATATGAGAATTGAGATCAAAAACCCAATTGCATGATATGCACATTAACAAAGACAGCATTCAGAACATAATCAAGTCCAACTGATACGTACATATGCAAGCAAACCCAGATGAACAAATTGAGATTTCAAGTGAAATCAAAAAGTGAATCAAACATCTGCAAAAATTTGAAGAAACCCAGATGCAGAACAGGTACAAGAATGATTAAAAGAAAGAAATTTTTGATTTTTGCACACCACATGAAGAGGTAGGGATTGGATGATTGAAGATGAAGATGAAGATGAAGAAGTAGAGGGTTGTTGGTAAAAATCTCGACCCCCTTCTTGGAATACCCGCTGCACCACATTATCGTCCATGGACACAAACCCAATACAATTCCAGAGCTTGTCTCAATTGAAGAAAAGGGGGAGAGAGAATTTTCGATTGCTTTCTGGGTTGTACTTATATGGATACATACATCATGATGTATGTATGTATACTGAGATTCTTCACCAACAAACAAAAACTCCCTCGCTAGTGTTCCTTCAGTTACAATTCTCTTTTTGCTTTTTTTAATAAAGACAATGGGGATTTTAGACGCAAGGGAAAGCAATGGAACACGGGGTTTTCTTTTCTACTACTACTAGTCTCTTTCCTCATTTTACTCCTGGGATATATTCAAAATCTCAGGATTGAGGGAGATCCTCATTCATGGTGTGATGAATAATCATCAGAATTTATTATTATTTTTAAATTTAAGAATAACTAATTTGTTTGATTTCAGGATTTAGGATTTATTTTTTAGAAAATTAATTTTTTTTTCTATTGATTTTTTAATCATCAGAATTTATTATTATTTTTAAATTTAAGAATAACTAATTTGTTTGATTTCAGGATTTAGGATTTATTTTTTAGAAAATTAATTTTTTTTCTATTGATTTTTTTAATATTTTAAATAATTTTTTTGAATTTTTAAATATACCTAATATAAATACACTTAAAATATATAATATTTATGAAAAAAAGTAAAATAATTAATAAATACTAAAAATATAAATAAATAAAATACAATAATTCAATATATTTTCATATTTTTATGTATTTATTAATTTTTTACAAATATTTTATTTTTTAAATACATCTAAATAAAAAAAGTTAAAAAATTACTTAAAATTTTTAAAATATTCACTAAAAATTTAAAAAATATGAAAAGCAAAAAAATAATTTAAAAAAAGTTAAATTCAGAAAATTAAAATCAAATACAGTGAATAATTATAAATTCTTAAAATTATGTCTTTTTTTAATTTAGTTGTTGGAGTTGACCTCTAAATTTTCTCACAGAGAAAATATAGGGAATTGGGGGAAGTGGAAGAGAAAAAGGATGAAAAATGGGAGAGGACAGGGGTGTGGGAAGCATATTTGGATTACACGGTGGACAGAAAAAAATGGACTTCTAGGAAGAAATTAAAATTGGATTTAATTGAGTTCGTTTGGAATATGGATTTACTTTTTGATTTTTTAGTTTTTTGACTATTTTAGTCTAGGTTAAAAAATTTCGTTTGTGATGGATTATTTTGACTTTTTTAATTTTTGTATGAGAAAAGATAAAATAATTATAGCTTGGATGTGATATTTTATCTTATTGACTTTTTAATATATTTTGTCATTTTATAGCTATTTTAGCCTACGAAAGGCTTAGACATGTATTGAAAAATTAGGAATTTTTAATTTTTTTTATGCTTGGAATTCAATTAAATTGAAATTATTTACACATAAATAATTCAATTACCCAAATTATCCTTCGTTTTTATAAGTACCTACTCTATTCCGTATTTTATTAGGTGGGAAATACAATTAAGTGGTGTTTTAAAAAAATATTTACAAGTATATGAAATAGTTTAGAATTTTAATTATTAATGTTCATAAAATTTATCATTGATGTGTATTTTTTTTCCCCCCTTGCATCTACACTGAGTAATAATTTCTCCTTTTATTATCATCATAATAGAGATATTATGATCTATTAAAAAAATTCTTCTTAATTATTCATAAAACCCAAATATATAGAGAGGGAGAGGACATTGTGCCGTTTAATTTTCAATTTGTTCCAAACATGAAAAAAATATTTCCTTTCAATCTTCTATTTTCATTATGTTGATTTCCTATTTTCCTCCCATTCCACCTGCAAAAATATATGTTCCATTTTTTTTTTCTCTTTTTAGAATAATATTTTCTAAGACATAAGTGATACTAATATAGTTGAATGATGAGTTACAAGAACAATTTAACCTTTTCGTGGCAAGACGATAAATTGGGTGATTTTATGAGGTTGTGGAATCAATCTTGGAATATTTATATTCGATTAGAAATAATTCAACTAGTACAATTTATTATTATGTGATGTCTAAAATTGTATTTTTGTTAAATACTTTCATTTCGGTTTCTAAATATACGTCCATCGTCTTTTATTAAAAAGACTCAGTTGCTAGCTACCTTGTTAGTTTAATTTCTAATTTGTGATGCACGTATGATTTAAACTATGTAAGGATTTGATTCATACCATTGATATATAGACAATCCATTCAAGGTTTCCATCCAAGTTTTCAAATCACTAATTTGCCAACTCGCAAAATTTTAAAGTTTTTCATGTTTCAAAATTCTCAAAATTCTTAAAGATATTATTATCTCAAACTAGAACTGGATTTTCAATAGCTCATCTTTGGACTTGTTATTACTCCCAAATTATATTTATTCCTATCATGTACCTATGCAGCCATTAGGCCCAATCCAACACTCGGGTTTCAACGGTAGGTTTAACCATAATTGTTTGATAGACCAATATAAACACAAACCAATTTAATTGATAGAAAACATAATGTTCATAATTTAAAATTAATACAATTAATAGGTGTACGGGGAGCAAATAAACTGGATTTTCAATAGCTCATCTTTGGACTTGTTATTACTCCCAAATTATATTTATTCCTATCATGTACCTATGCAGCCATTAGGCCCAATCCAACACTCGGGTTTCAACGGTAGGTTTAACCATAATTGTTTGATAGACCAATATAAACACAAACCAAATTAATTGATAGAAAACATAATGTTCATAATTTAAAATTAATACAATTAATAGGGATTTTTTTTTAGGGTCCCTGGTATTAAGACTTTATAGTATAAAGGACATCTAATATTTTTATAATGTCTAAGATCTCTCAATTTGATCCAGAGAAATTCTGTCCAGAGAAATTCTATACAGAGAATTTCTACAGAAATTCTATTAGGACGCGAGTGTGTAGTTTTGGCACACTTGTGAATGTGCTGACGTTCTTCGTTACCTTTATTAGGATGTCAGGACGAGGACGTAGTAGGCGTGGCAGACGTGGTAGGCAGGAGATGCCTTTACCGGATGATATTCCGGCACAGTAGGAGGGGGTTGGCCAGGCCAATGTGGCCGAGCTAGCAGGCCAGGAGGCTATGGGCGCTTTAGCCCGAGAGATAGCCGATGCTTTGAGGGAGTGTGGGTATTTTCCGAGCTAAGAATCCGGTTCAGGCTCCAGTTCAGGCCCAGGTTGTTGAGGCAGGGCCTTCCTTCTTGAAAAGGGAGTTCTTCCGGTCTAACCCAGACGAGTTTATTGGGAATCCGAATGAGCCACTAAAGGCTGACGAGTGGTTAGAGCAAATGAGTAAGACGTTCGAGATGCTTGGCATCGAGGACGGAGCGTTGAAAGTGACCTTGGCATCCTTCCAGCTTAAAGGGGGTGCGGGTCAGTGGTGGAAATACATGAGGGGCCGTATTGCTGGCACGTGGGAGGCTTTTGTAGAGGCTTTTCAGGAGAAATATTTGTCTCCAGCAGTCAGGGAGAAGCTGAGAGACCAGTTCTATCAGCTTTTGCAGTTGAGTTCTTCAGTAGCCGAGTATGAGGCTACTTTCATTAGCTTGTCCAGGTTCGCACCTGAACTTGTGGCGTCCGAGGAACGCCGCTGTGTTGAGTTCGAGAAGAGGTTGAGGCGCGGCCTCAAGATGAGGGTTGAAGGTTCGATGATCCGAGATTATGGGCGCTTGGTTGATACTGCAACCCATATGGAGATCATGATGCAGGAAGAGGAGGGAGAGAGAGGCTCCAAGAGGAGCCAAGATGGTCAGGGTGATGGCAGAAGACAGAGGGGTGCTAACCCTCAGCAATCTCAGGGTGGTGTTGCTAGGTCGACCTTTCCAGTGCCGAGTGCAGGCTCGGGGAGGGGTAATTAGGGGGAGTTCACCTGTTACAAGTGTGGTCAGTTGGGCCACAAGGCTTCAGTTTGCCCACAGAGGGGAGGAGGTCAGAGAGCTACTTCATCTTCAGCTAGACCGCAGGGCCAGAGTCAGGACAGGGGCCAGCCCTTGTATTGTTATCAGTGTGGTCAGCCTGGGCACCTGAAGAGGTTTTGCCCACAGTTGAGTGCCACTTCGGGCACATCTGGTTCTAGGCAGACGCAGGGTTTTCAGCCAGCTCAGTTTGTGCAGGCCTCGAGGGCCAATCCGGGAGCTTCGTCGTCCCAGTCAGTGCAGCAGTCGTTTGCTCCGAGGGGTGAGTAGTTGGATTAGGGGCCTACAGGGCGCGTGTATGCAGTTACCGCGCAGGACCTAGTACCGGCTCCATTAGTAGTGAGAGGTACCTTTCTGTTTTGCAACTCGGTTGCTAGTGTATTGATTGATACGGGTGCATCTCATTCTTTTGTATCTGCTGCATTTGCATCTGTTTTGGAATTGGAGTTGGCACAGTTAGCATCTCCTATATGTGTAGTATCGCCTGTTGGTGGTGAGTTGATCTTGAAACAAGGTGTTAGAGGTTGTGATATAGAGGTCGCCGACCATAGGCTTCCTTTTCCTTTTGTTGTCATGCCCATGAAGGGTTTTGATGTTATTTTGGGTATGGACTGGCTATCGTCATACCGGGCTGTTATTGATTGCTACCGTCAGATTGAAAGCATTGATAATCCAAACGGGGAGTGTTTCCATTTCTTTGGGGGATCGGGTTGGTAGTGTATTGCCCACCGTTGTAATGATCCGCGAGGGCGGAGTGAGCTTAGTGGTCTACTTGCTAGCTTTTTGAGTGGTGAGTGTGATGAGACCCAGATTGTATTGCCGAGGGTGGTTTGTGAGTATTCAGATGTTTTTCCCGAGGACCTCGTTAGTTTGCCACCTCACTGAGAGATAGCGTTCTCTATTGATTTAGTGTCCAGCACAGCGCCGATTTCTATGGCACCTTATTGTTTTGCCCCAGCCGAGTTGAGTGAGTTGAAGATTCAGCTCCAG